TAGAATCCACTTTTACCAATCTTCATGCAGTGGACATCTTGAAAGAATTACAAAAACAAGTACTTTTACTTGTATATAGGATAAAAGAATTTCTTATTTTTGTTTCATCATTAACTTCATCAACTATCATTAAGAATATTTTTCAAAATACAACTGGTTTTCCAGTTTGTTTATCTGCAAAACTTCACATCCAAACATCAATTGGATTAGCTGTCTTCCATCTTAGATTTGTTTGTATGCTGGGCCTGTTAATTATCCCCTTTCCCCAATTACAGCCAGCTGGTAATGGGTCATTTTGAAGTGGGCTTTCTTGAAGGTGGTAGCTTCCTTATGCAACAACATGCAGGAGGCCCATCGCATGCCATATCATCCAGAGCAGAACAAAAACAGCGTCAAGCCCAAAAACATAACACCACCACAACAGTAGAACAGATTGATAAAATGTCAGCAGTAGGGAGCAGTCAAACCATAGGACTCAGATATTCACCTTCGGTTACAGAGGTCAATGCTTGACCAGTGAGGTATTATTGTCCCTCAGTCTTAGGATACTGAATATGTACAGGTATATATAGCTATAACTAAACTTATAAATAACCCATAAGATTTTATTGACATGACCACTAATGTGATCTGTGACTATATAGGTAATTGTAACAATGACCACACACTAATAGTGACATTGCGCAGATCAATATCTTTAAAGAGCTGTTAGATTTATACCTAAATGCCAGATATAGATCCACAGACAAAGGTCAGTCTGACAATGGTCAGTCTTCAATGGACAATGGTCAGTCTAATGGGACAATTCTGTCAGAAATTAAGTTGGGTTATAGCTATATTGATTTTGCTTCATCCACCAACTATGTATTTTCACTTCCTGGATAATACACAACAATTTTTATGACGCCATCACGCTAGCGATGCATTTCTTGACATAACACTTTAAATCATTTATCTTCATTCTCCTCTGATGTCTGTATGACCCAAATAATCTGTATCAATTGATGATCAGCAGCTTCATCTAAGTTCTTTACAATATTCGTGACCTAATTCATGCCAGTAACATCTAAATCACTGCACCTGAAAGCATGTCTAAATATACACTTATTAATGTGCAATAACTTATTCAAAACTAATTCTGATATATTGATAGTCACAATATAAACAGGTTTTTTCTATAAGCAAAAGTCAAGAAGCAACTAAAAGTGACACAGGGACACAGGGACTGTGTACCACAAAGGTTTGCAGTATCTCTCACAGGGGTTTGTAATATCACTGTCAAAGGAGTTTGTAGTATTGCTGTCGCAGGAGTTTGTAGTATCTAGGTCACAGGCTGACCCCACCAACAGCACCACCTAGTGCGCCGGGATCACTGAAGGGATAAGTGACCTGCGGCCAGAAGTCCTTACCCAAAGCAAACCAGAAGGTTTACAAGAAATTCTGGCTAATTCCACCCTTGACTGTGCCAGGCTAGGGTTTGACTGTCTCTCCCCTATACCAGGGAGTTACTGGACAGGAAGGACCACTACCTGCTCATGAGAGGAACTTGAAGCTATGAGACCTCCTGAAACAGGCACAGCTTATTTGCCGATCGGGTCAGAGACAGCTCCAAATAGGCTTCCCACTCTTTACGGAGGTAGATGACGAATCTCTCTTACAGCTGGAAGAAGATCACCTTGACTTGAAACTATCTGTGAGTTTACACATATTAGACTCACTGCAAGGCTGTCATTGGGGACAAGCGTTATGTGGGTCCTACTCTCCAAAGAAATGGGAACACCCAGGGGCTGCACCCTGCTGTAATCCTGCTGGAGACACACTTACAAACAACAACTAAAAAATTTACATTAGGTACGGAAAGTTCTAAACAAAAATGACTCAAAACTTCAAGGCAAGCAACAGAAATGAAGAAAAACAATGTAAGCTAGCAAAAGACATAAAGCTGAAAACAAGGCCGAAAAACAAACAAAAAGGCCGACGGTAAAACCATATTGGAGGACCACATGGTACACCACTTTGGCATGATAGCAGATGGCCAGGAGCATAAACAACACAAACTAAGCAAAAAACAAGTATCAAAAATGAACTGAGTGGCTGAAGGGCGATAAAATGTGAAAACTCATCTGAAGTATGTCAGCCATCAAAATCGCCACAAAGGAAAAGAGAAGGGAGAGCACTCTATGTCTCAGTCGTTATGGCTCATGGAATGGTAAGGAGGTTGGGATTTGTTTTTGGACTACAATAATATCCAAGAAAGAGGTTACAAAGCTAAAGTAGGTCAGTCAATAATATTCCTGAAAGATTTACAAAGCTACAGGAACAGGAGGTCAGTCAATACATTTGCTGGGAATGTGATGTCCTCACAAGCTTATTTGAAGATATTAAAAACATTTTTATAAACTGGAATAAGAATTCTAAATGATTGCAGCTTTGATTTCCACAGTGAACACCAGACTGTTAAGCACTGTATTGTATGTTTACAAGTACAAGTTGATCCTGAACTGTGCATAAAAAGAGTCATGAAGCATAACCTGTTAACATGGAAAGGACTCAGTCATCAATCAAGTCAGTGATAATATTTTGTCGTTTCAAACAAACTGAGAAAAATGAGCATAGTTTATTTCGTTAATTTTTGTTGCAACATTCCTTAGTATAATAATTCTGCATTTGTTTTCTTATTTAAGTTTTCAGATGATCTCAAAATCATGCTCATTGTTATTTGAAATTTATTAGTTTGTTTAAAATTTGAACTGATGGTGTAGAAAGAGGAGTGTTTTGGTATTGATGTCTTATTTCTATTTGTGTCTTATGGTTAAAAACCTAATTCAGTGTGATTGGTCTTCAAATTATTACATTGGAATAATGCATACATGATACCGTGTCGCATATGTATCATATAGCAGGTTGGTTTGCGATACATATACCTATAATGATTCATGTGGTCTGGTAAATTTGTATGTTCGGCAGGTACATACATCTAGTCTTAGATATACTGAGTAACTATAGCTCTATAAAGAAAAAGTGCATTCAACATTACATAGGAATACATATATGTTTGTCAGATACTGCACATTATACATTCTTTTATGGCTGCAACAAGGCAAAGATTTAATTGTCTGTGTTTAATATTTCTGTATTAGACCAAGCGAAAATGATTCTGAAGAGAGTCCTCTAACAACAATTGAACATTGGTCAGCTATACAAGTTGCTTTTTCTTTCTTTCTAGCATTTCAGTAAATTGACCACATTTTTGTACTGAAAAACCTATATTTTGGAAGAATCATTCTCATTTGCATAATTCTAAAATCACAAATATTAAGTTTTCAAGAAAGACTTTTAAACATTTTTGAACATTTCAAAACATATGTAACTTTCTTGACCATCCTTTTATTTCAAGGAGGCAGTCTAAGGTATTTTTGATTTTCAAGAGACTGCTGTAATTTCAAAATTTTATCATGAACTTATGTCAACTTTGTCAAATTCATGTGGAGGGCATTTTATACATAGGATCCTACTCTGAACATATCAAGTCTCCAGTTTATGATATCAGAGATTTATGAAATGAGTCAAAGAATTTTTAATTTTAGGCTTAAAATTCATTAATTTTTGTAGGATTTTTTTAACTGCAAGTCAATCAAATCAATTCCAAAATTTTGATGAGTCTGAAAGCTAAGAAATGTTATGGGGTCTAAAAATTGAAGTGAGAACCTCATAAAATTCACAAGTCCTTTAACTAAATGAGTCTCAAAAAGCACTGAAATTTGTGAAGAGTTTTATATGAAATGAAAACAAATCGGATCCCTTTTATTGTAGGACTGAACACAAATTTTACAGAAAACATTCTCTTCCATGCCGATGTTGGAAGTCATCTTGACTTTACATATATAGTCATGGTCCTCAATATGAGTGATTGTGACATCATAATTCTTTCTGTATGTTTGTAATGTCATTCCTTCCTCATCCACCGATATCACAATTTGTCATTTTACAACACAGCATACACATCCAATAATATAACAGGTATATATATGATCTGAATAATGTGCCAATTGTTTGATAAGGATATACAATTTATTACAACCGTTCACCGGCATCAATAATGACCAAAGAAAAAGCAGGAAATTTTTTTTGTGTGAATAGTTGGATTTTGCAAAAATGATAATTGCTTTGTTTACATCCAAATAAAAATACTTTGGCCATCCTGCCATGATGGGAAGTTTAATTTTAAATGAAGCTGTTTTGGTATTAGTGACTCATGATTTCATCTGCCTACAGTATGGTGTCTTGTTACAGAACCATTAAATATTTTCATTTTTATGGCATCAATCAATACCATGTACATTAATGTTCCCGGACATAAACTGTTGTCTTTGTGGTGACATTGTAAAACACTGTATATATTGTTAAACATTAATTTTGAATATATTGTAAAAACAATGTATATGTTGTAAAAACATTGTACATGTTGTAAAACAATGTATATACTTTTAATATATTTTGACAAAATATTGATCATCACATCAATTACAGACGTTAATAATGCTACTCCTGTTACAGTAGATTTTGCTATTTTTCTTGTGAAGTCTACATCTGAACACATTGTTTACCAAATTTTGAGGAGTATGTCCAGTTACCAAGAAATACATTTATAATGGGTTCTCAAAATTTGAGCGAGTCTCACAGGAAAAGTGTGACGTAGGGATTCAAATATTTGAGTAAAAAATCACTGCTTTACATCTGATCAATACATTAAAAACTTAAATGTATACAAAAGACCAAAAGGACCTGTACACATGTAAACACAGGAATACGGGCCTGACCTCACACCACGGGGACACCGGTATTTATCGCTAATCTTACGACATACATGTAAGAGACTGTACGTGTGCCTGTGCTCACACCAGAGAAAATTCTAAACAAAGAAAGATTTCTAAAACAAGTACACGTGAACACATGCCCATTATTGGTATCACAAATTAATATGGTTCTGGTATACTTACCAATGTTGAATGGATTTCTGTTTTGCCGAGCACAATACGATGACTTTCCCATCTCCGTAAGTAACGCGAATTCATAATTTTGCTCACAATCGTTCTGGTGTGGTTAAGCCGACATATTTGAATTTCGCCCTCATGTATCAAACGAAATCTTGGTCCTGTGAAAGGTTTGGATACATTTGTAACTGGTGATGAAGACGCTCGGGTAACATTATTAACACTTGTCCCAGTTTCATTTTTACTTATAATCCCATTGGAATAAGGATGGACAGTTCGCGGACTACACTGTATATCGTCAATTTGAATAATATCCACGTCGGATGAAGATGATTCTGTGTTGACGCTTTCTATATTGGTGACGAGAGTCGCCATATTCCTTGCTCCATCGTCTCCTCTCAAAGCCTCCCCATTATTACGCACAGTTGCAGCTGAAGCAGCAGGGCAGGATTCTAGCCCCGATATAGCTAACATTGTTCGGCAGTAACTGTAGATACAAGCCAGTTTGCCTGAATACAGTAAAACACACGACAAATTTATGAATTAGACATCATTTCCCGTCATGGACGTCTCCCATGAATTTCCCGTTCGCTGTCAAAATACGATATAATAACGTGGACACAATGGACTCTCACGAAGTGTAAATATAGTAACGACTGTCTAGTAGGTCACGTGATCTGGATGTGACGTAGGTTGCTTGCGAGCATGTTACTTTTTATATATACAGAAAACTGACACCCAAGGCTTGACGTTTAACTTACTCACGATTTTCAGTGTCGATGAATGCATCAGTGGTGGGTAATCCATTAATTATGCACTACACAATAACACGGACTATATATTTTGGTTAAGCAATAAAATATATATTAGATATCTATGAAACCAGTCATTCTTTCACTTGTTTGATAAATCTCACAGGAAATTGAAACGAATGTAAGATTTTTTTGCAAGCTAATTAATTTGCAAAACCACATGTGACAATTTCTGAGATTTGCGCCAGGAAATGATATTTATTACAAATCCGCATAACAAGTAATAAATGTGACTATTACCTTCAAAGCCTACAATAAATTGACAGAAAGCCAGATAAAAGCCAAACACTTACAAAAATGATCGTAAATTGTGTATTAATTTCCGCGAGTGTGTGAAGCGTCTTTCCGGTCAAACAGCGCTATTTAATACCGACTCGTTGCTGCGTGTCTACATCATCCTAAAATAGAATTAGACACTTGGGAGGAGGACCAGGCAGAATAGAAAAGTTTAATGTTTATTTTCCAGCTTAAACAATTTAATTATTGTAATCTGTTGTATTACAAAAAATCAGAAGAATTAAAAAGAACCGGGTGAACCACGACGTCTACTCTTGTGAATAGAAATATTGACTTGTTTGAAAACAAAATAAAACACAAATGGTACAAAAGGTCACACTGTCCCGCACTGTAGAGGTCACTTGAAAAACAAAAGGGCCCATGACATCACAATATAACTCTAATTATGACGATGCAATACCACCTCAAAGCGCACGCAAAAGCCAAAGCTGCCCTTAAAGGATATGTTGTACTATTTCCATTTGTCCGTATGTCCATTTGGTATGGTGTGACTAATCTAGTCTTGTTTTGATGTATATACCAAAGAGCAACAACAAAAATCATGCTATCCTTTATTCAGCGTTGTTTATCATGTATATATACCAAGGAAACAAAAAACGAATCTTCATCTTTACGGTTTAATAAATCCCAGTAATTATTTATAAGTAATTTGCCTAACTGTGAAAATGCAACAGTTAATTTCGATTACTGAAATATCCGTCTCCAAATTTTCTGAGATTTTTAAACAAATGAGGTCTTCATGTGTACCCTTGCGAACAGCAGTAGCGTCTCTATTTCTGCGTGGCATTGAGTGCATAAGGACATTGGCTGTCCGTAGAGGAATGCTATTTCATTCCCCGGTAAGTGTGTTCGCCAATAGGCGGATGTATATGTTATATTAGGATGTTTACTCTTCTGTCTAATTCATCCCACGAGCGTTCGATTGGGGACAGGTCTGGCTATGTGGAGGCCAATCATCAGGGTAGATATCCTGGGTTGCAAGAAAGTCCCTAAAAACTATTGAAACGTATGACCTAGCGCTACCATGCTGGATGTTAAATGATGCCTTATAATGAAGACACAACACGAGGTCGGTCCACCTCCGAATCTGCCGTGCTCTAAAATCAAATAACGGTCATCTGAACGAAATAACGTGAATCCAGATTCACCCGTGAAGAGCATGGACCTCCAATATCTCATAGGAAACGTCTGGGTACATGTGTGTTGTGTCAGTGACAAATAAACGTACTGGTGACGTGGGAGTAAATTTGCCTCTCAGAGTTTTTGGGTAAATTCGGCGGTTTCCATTACCAATTGTACCTGTATTTCGTGCCATTTTGGCCGCCATTGATATCCTGTCACGCAAGTGGGCACGGCTAATGAACCAATCTTGCCGTCGCGACGTTTCACGTGGACGTCCAGAGCACGGTCTGTCATCAACTCTTCTTGTGGCGTTGAGACAGAGTTGTTGTCAATTTGTGAACTCCGAAGTGAGTAGCGACCTGCTGTTAAATGCTACCTCCCATGAGCATAGCGAGGGCTCGTCCTCTATCACGTTGGGATAGCCGTGGCATATTGGCGAGGAAAAATATTGATTGCTAATGTATTGGCAATCACGCGTCTTGGTGATAGTCAGAAATCGACACTAGTTTGAATGGAAAAAACGCACGCTTTGGTACATTCACGGTATATCGGTAATTTCGGTGCACCGGATGTGCCTAAGTCCTTTTGTCACGGATGACGGATTTTTACATTTATTTTGGGATTAAGTCAGGTGTCCTAATTTTCTTAGTTTTGAGACCGCTATGTATATTGAACATAAAATATTTAACAATTAAAGAAGTTGCGTTTCTTTAATATGTCAGCTTGTTACATGCTTTATAAATCAGAAGTGGTTTTACTTTTATTATTTTTCAATACATATATATTTGGGGCATGTTGGGCTTCCATACCTTTCGCTCATTTGTTTTTTCTTTGAACTAGATTTTCAAGGTTTTTTTTAGATTAATCCCCCTCTAACAATTTAACTCCAGCCCCAGTTCTGATTGCTAACGCCGTGAATATTTCTCACGTCATCGCTGTGTTGTACTTTGTGTATTGCAATCTCGGTGATTCGACATATAAAGTGCACTTTCTTTCTTTGTTTTCGATATAGGGGAGTAGTAGGGCGTCTGCCGAGAGAGGAATAGGTCGCTAGAGCAATCCCCAAGCGTGTTCAGGATGTCTTTCATTAACTCATTCTAATATATATATCTGTAACATAATCAATGGCGTTCACACCATCGTAATCGCAATAAAAACGCTCGCCCATTTATGTGTACCACTGTTCAGAATCTTGTCTTTTGAACTGCTCTTTTTCGAACTCCTATCATAGTATTTTGGAACAAACTGTTGCCAAGACAACGCGATATTGTAATCAACAGCGGCTAAATGGATTTTCGATTATATCGGTGATCATTGGTCAATTTTCAATGAGACATTTTTGATAATATGACAATTAAACCAATAGAATACTTTCGATAAACAGGACGAATATAGCATCACTCAATACACAGTATATTTTATTCGTTGATAATATAAACACACATGTGCTAAGTTTAAATAACCCCCCTCATAGAACTCAACACAAGGGTGCCTTTGAAAACGAAATTTGTATTAAATTTCACTCAATAGATAAGACAATGTTTAGGAAAAGTTGATGGTTGCCTCACAGAAAAGCATGCGGGAGGACCATCACATGCCATCCAGGGATATGGTGTTCAGATCGGTCAGTTGGTCGGCCATGCAATTATGATTATGATTTTTTTAAGGAAAGAAAAGAAAACAATCTTTGACTAAGACGATACTGTTTCACAACCTATCACCAGACCGATATTGACCGAGGAAAAGAGATAGCTATAGTTCAAACTCGTCCAGGTACACTGCAGGCGTTCTTAATTCTAAAAGCTCAAAGAGGGGTTTGAAGGCGAGTCATTCGAAATAATTGACATGTAGTAACTATAATGAAATAAAAAAGTGGCTTGTGAGTTTTGTATCCATAGTCACATTTGTTTATTAAGTTGATATAAAAAAGATAAGCACCCATACAATAATATTTTTTTTATTTAACAGGTATTGTTGAACTGAATTGGAGTGTTCTGATTTTCCTAATTATCATTAAATGTGGCTATTTTTTGTTAGTGATTCTGAGCACGGATATTTATGCTATCACGGATTTGAATTCGAAATAAAGCCGAGATGCTATATGCCATGCTATTACTGTGTAACCGCTATATAGGCTACAGTAGATACCTATGTAACCGTGACTATACGGTTCTGCCAGTACCTAATAGAATAAGTCCGTATTAGTAGATTTAAACGTGTGCGCTCTGGCGCTTGAAAGGACTGATGCTTTTGCCTATGGCGCGATAAGCGCTAATGGGATGTACCCCATGGTATCCCGCAGAAACAGCTATATATGGCTAATTTTGGTATAGCATGACTTGTTGATCAGAAATACATTATGAATAAAAACTTGGAAAAATAATTCCTAACTTGAGGCCAATCATTTCTTTTATGCAAAAGGAAGGAAATGTACAGAAATGTCAATTTTTGTTGAATGTGTTTTTTTTTTAAATATGATATATGCTTATACAAGAACTGTTAGCTTATATTCAAGTTTTCATTTGAAAGTTTTTTCCTCAACATTTCAGTAGAAATATAGGAAAAGTATTTTTTCTTCTTTTCTTTTTTCTTCTCTTGAAAATTTAGAGGGCGTGAATAGTTACATAATGAATTCGAGAAGTCATGCATTGTCCTCTTCATTGTCAACCACTGATAAGGATTTACCGGCGTTACAGGCCTCTTATTACCTAGCAAGCTTATGCTAGTTTAGATTGAATTCTATGTTACTTTAGATTGAGCTGTCATAGAACAATGAAAAGTGTAGCACTGCTGAGTATCTCGACAGGAAGGAAATCCGGGTTTCCGGCGTGATAATACTGACTGCTCCATAAACTGAGCCAAAGAGGCATCACACTGACCTATAGCTACGCTCCGTCAGCTGAGTGACCATACTGGACAAGGAAGTTCTTTGAACTCGAAAATAGCTCACAATCTCTGCTAAACAATTGCATATGGACACCAGCATCACACATTTCAGTCTTGCAGTACATTAGTATGCAGCGCCCGGCGAAATGGGTAAGAAATACACATTAAATAAATATTTTTGATATATCACGATTTATATCACCAATTGTTCCGGAAAAAACCTGTTTTGTGTATTACACACTACCATCATTGTCAGTTGGGCGCTTTGATGACCCAACAACAAGACCAAACAAATTAGGTAGCCACTGTAAGAGAATATAAGGATGAAATTCAGCGTAATAGTGATCGCTGTGGCAGTAGAATTTCTCATCCTACCTTTTACAGAATGCAAAGGTGAGTTTCAGAGGACATTGATGCCTATTATATACGTATACTTCCCCTGTGTAACCTGCTACAACCACCTGTCTTTGACGTCATATTGTTTATTTAACACTCGCTGTAGACCTAGTCCTGAACATATTTTACGCAAAGCGGCATAACCTCTTATGGCATATGACTCTCATCAAGCTCCGATATAAAGTTTTCTGTAGGCGTATAAGTAACAGCCTGGGTTTCATCTGACCTTAATATATGCCAGACAGGATTGATTCCTAGGGTGTGTAGTATGGAAACTCGGACTGATGTTAATGTATATCAATATGTTACTAACTCATGTTGGTAGTCCAGACCGTTCAGCGATCACCAATTTCACTGGCCTGTCTAGTGTATAAAGGTCTGGTAGAATTATACAGGCATGTAGGCTGAAACTAATACAAAATCTTGTTACATATAGAATCTTCACTATCTGGAAATTAAAGGAAAAAAATAAAGTAAAATATCATCCTCGTTAAAATAAAAATGTAAGGACATAAAATGCCTTGTCCAAAAGAAACTATGTACATCTTATTGGCAGCATATTGATGATATGTTAAACCCTGATATTTCAAATTCTGATAACCAGTGCTCTGGTATGAAACGCTTCTGGTCATATATTAAAGCCAAACGATCGGATCACAGTGGCATCTCTCCATTGAAACAAGAGGGCAAACTCATACATAATCCTGTTGGCAAAGCACAAGTGCTTAACACACAAGTTCAATCTGTTTTTACCCTACCTGAAACTTTCAATGATCAACAGTTTATTTCCAGATGTAACATGCCTCCTGACCATCAATTTCCAACCATGCCCAATATTGACACTAATGTAAATGGTATAGTAAAACTCCTTAAAGGATTAAATCTGTATAAGCTGCAGGACCAGATGACATCAAACCAAAAGTTCTGAAAGAACTTGCCAATGAAGTAGCCCCCATCCTATCTCTAATATTTAGCATGTCTTTGTCTACAGGTCTAGTCCCCAATGATTACAAACTGACAAATATTTCTCCATTATACAAAAAAGGACAGAAATCTAATCCTGAAAATTATAGACCAATTTCTCTGACATGTATTTGTAGTAAAGTCATGGAACACATCATCGTTTCTAACATCATGAATCATGCCGATACAAACAACATCCTGTATCCGTTCCAACATGGCTTGCGCAAATTTTGACCAAGCAAAATACCAGGGTGTTACAATTCAGTCCAACCTAAAATGGGATTCCCACATCAACAGCATTACCAACAAAGTAAACTCTACTCTTGGCTTCCTCCATCATAATCTAAAAATAAGTTCAACATCAGTTAAGGCACAGGCATACAAATCTTTAGTTTGTCCATCCCTAGAGTATGCATGTCCTGTTTGGGACCCGTACACCAAAGATAACATCAACAAGATAGAAATAGTACTACGCAGGGCTGCACTTTATGCACTAAATAAAAACATCTATTCTTAAAGAACATCTAGCGTCTCTGATATGATAAACCACCTTAAATGGCACCCCCTAGCTATAGACCCAGAGAAATAAGCCTGTGCATAATGTTTAAAGGTGTAAATAACCAGTTGTCTATCAGCCCACAAAATATATTAATACCAGTGACCAGGCAATCAAAACATGTCCATCACAAATCCTTCCAAATTCCTCACTGCAGAACTCGGGCTAGAAAAACAATTATTTTCCCCTCGTACTATATCTGTGTGGAATAAGATCCCACCAGATATCATCTCATCCTGTCTTACCACTGAATCCTTCAAAACTTCTCTCTGCTCACTGTACCCTTAAAATGAAATATTTATATACATATATTCTTTCTTTTTCTTTAAGGTAATCTCTTTCTCTCTCATGACATTATCTTCAACTTGTTGAAGTTGGTCATTATCATTTAGAAGTAGAAGTAGAAGAACACAGTTGACATATCACTTTCCTGGATTTTGCTAATAAAAATTGTTATTGCTATTTCTTGAGAAGTGCAAGATGGATCATTTTCAAATTTTGTATGTAGGACACCTCTATGTCTATAGTTGTGTTCTTTCAATTTTAGGACTGATCAGAAAAATAAGATGACTGCCCCATTGCCATCTTTTTCCTTATCATTTCTTGAGAAGTACAAGATGGAAGATTTACAAATTTGACATAGAGAATTCCATTGGTTCCTAATTATCGTCTGGTCTTTATGTCACCATCATGATGATGGGCTATTCAAATTGCTCTACGTCTGTGATATGTCATCCATCTATAATTAATTTTTGTTATCTCTATTTCTTGATAAGTGGATCATTCTCATACTTTATATGTGGGTTCCCTTTAGTCCCAACTTGTTCCCGTTTGATTTTGGGATTTATCAATAAAAACAAAATGGCTGCTAGTTGGGCATCTTGGATTTCTACAACGAAGGGTTGTTGTTGCTTTTCTTGAGAAGTACTGGATGAATCTCTTTCTCAGATTACATGTTGGTTTCCTTTGGTCCTTAATAGTGCATGTTTCATTGTAGGACTGTTCAGAAAAACAAAATGGCTAGCAGGTGACCATTATCAATTTTTGTTGCTATTTCTTCAGAAGAATGTACAAACTTCATGTAATTGAGAGCAAAAACAGAAAAGAGAAAAGAAACGATCTGATTTTTAAAGAACAAATAAAGGTCAAACAACGGTGGGAGCCAAGATCTGTCTGGAACTGTTTGTTTTAGGGTTTTTTCTGGTGATTTCAGGGCACAGTTTCTAAAACTTTGATGAGTCCAGTTATAAAGGGATATAGAGAGTTCTCAAAATTTGAGTGAGTCACACAGGAAAAATGTAAGTCCAGGACTCAAATATTTGAGTCCAAAGAATCACTGCACTGATTGCATCTTGGATTTTGACAATGAAAGTTTGTTATTGTTAGTTTTCTTGATAAGCAGAATTTTCAAATTTCATGTGTACAATCTCCTTGGACTCTGGTTGTGATCTTTTATGGTTTACACTGAACAATATAGCCAAATAAAATGATTGAGAAGTGATCATCTTGGACTTTGATCATAAGAATTTGCTTTCACTAGATCTTGAAAAGCACTGAATAGATTGTTATCAAATTTCATTTATCACATAAATTGCCTGTTGTGTCACATCATACAGCCATGTCATAAATATTGTACAATATGACGACACATGTTATAGCATTATTTTGACATCATAAATAAATCATTCTTAATGATGTCACATGATTGTCTCTGTGGGGAAATACCGTAAGCAAATCCTACAGGGAAATTTATCTTTTTTTTTGAAATTTGACTGAGTTGTATGATGAATAGAATCTTACATTTGTGTCAATATAGTATGGCATATATTAAACTTATTTAATAGTTTGATGTGTCACTCACCTTGTGAAATCATTGAATTCAATCCTTTAATTAATTCCATATAACATCAACACACTCATGTACAAGCCACGCTACCCATTATGTTAGTTCCACTTTGTCCCTAGTTGTGCCTTTTCCACTTCAAGGAAAGTAAAAAGAAGAAAAAAAATTGTTGTCCAGTGGCCATCTTGAGTTTTGATAATTATATAGTTTTATTTTGTTATTTATTGAGAAGTATTTGATGGATTATTAGTAAAATGTTTGTAGGTTCCCTTTCATGCTCTTTTGTTAATGTTCCATGTGATAGACGAGGTTGATTCATCAAACAGTACAACTATATCCTTAAAAGCAAATAAAAGGAAAGGAGAGAAAAGATCTATCAAAGAGAGAAATAATAAAGATTGTAAAGATAAAAAAATGGTCGGCACAAGATACTTCCGGAATATCTTCTATTGCTAAAAATCCTATCAACAGCTGTGGTCATTGAAGTATAGAGACTTCGATATTTGGGGAAAAGATGGATATGAATAATAATAAGCTAGTTATAACTGAAAAGTAGAATTAGAAAAATTTGTCAGTAGAAAGGTATTAGATCACCTGCCTCAACAATTGGATTTTATACAGAGTTTTCAACTTTCCTCCAATAGTGAGATGTCTTATGTTTATGTGCTTAAATCCGAAATAACAAGATTAATTAATTTGTAAGCTTTATAGCTTGTTTTGCTGTTGGTTTAAAATAAATAAAGTTGATAATTTGACTCTCAGTCAAGTAGGTCAGTTACGATGTTTACAGAACATGTTCAAGTGATTTACTTGTGATTATTTTAATAGTTGTCAAAATGAAGTGATATCAAGTGTTGTCCACATGAAAGTAAGTGACATTATCAGATGTTGGATTATGAAGAATATAGAGGGAAAAAATTGGTGATTCAAGAAAACTTGGTGTCAGTCAGAAAGTAACATGAATTAATGTGACATTAGTGGTTTCCACTGTGTATTTATCATTCTGAACCCTTTGTTTGTTACAGATGTGAGGTGGAAGTGGCAAGCTGGTAGTACAAGTGTGAACAAGGTCTCATCAGACCTGAATCTAGGAGCACGTACAGGTGGCATGGTCTTCAAAGATACCAATACCTACAATACATTCTTCTTATTTGGAGGTCTGCTTCACGATCCAATATCAAACTCACAGTGCTTTGCTAATGACCTGTGGCACGTAGAAGGAGGGGGTCCTTCTGAAAAAGTCCTGCATCAAGGGACTAGGAATGAAGGATCAAAGCGAGGGACTGGTCAGTCGCCTGTCCCACGAATGTTAGGTGCCAGCTGTGGGATAGCAGGTGGCATGTTTATGGTGTATGGTGGTTATGGAGACAAAGGCGCTTTAGGAGATACTTGGATATATGACTTTGGACACGAGCAGTGGAGCAGCTTGGAAAAATTACACTTCGATATGAACCACAATGACACTAGCTTAATTTCTCCACCAGCAAGATCCGACATGGCAGCTTGGTGCATGCATGACAGACTTGTTATATTTGGTGGCATTGGTGAAAAATCAGAGACTATGCGGGACATGTGGGAGTTCGACCTCCGAACCTTGTCCTGGAAGGAGATGGAGAATTCTGTATTATTAAGGAGCCAGATCTACTTCAACCACCTGACAACCTGGCCAGAAGCAAGAAATGGTGCCACGACTTGGGTCAAAGGCAAAAATCTTTATCTGTTTGGGGGAAATAGAGTTTCAAACCATGACAGAAAAAGTATTCGAAATGTAGGATTTAGTTCAGATTTGTACATGTACAACATCTCGGAGGGGAAATGGAGGTATGTACATGGGAGGAGGGAGACAGGCCGTGTCGCAAAGTTTACCTTTCATGGGCAGCACAGCAGAGAGAATGAGCCAGGCTGTCGACGAGGTGGTGCTGGGATAGTTGACACAAGTGGAAATCTCTGGCTGTTTGGAGGTGAGGGAGCTGATGGTCATCTTGATTCTGTTTCATCTGTAAAACCGCCTAAACGTCTTGCTGATCTGTGGCACTTTGATGTATTGAAAAATGAGTGGGCTTTTAAGGGCGGGTTTGAGAGAGGAAACTCTGCTGGTATTTATAATGGTGACAAAAACATTTACTACACTGGCTCTCAGCCTGGGTCAAGATTTGACACGATGTCTGTCCCAGCAGGAAACACAATCCTTGTCTATGGTGGCATAGGAATAGATGCTGATGGGAATGAAGGTCTGCTTAGTGACTTCTGGGAGATCGACATGCACAATTACGTAGCTTATTTTAGTGCCACTTATCCTGGTACTGTTTTTAATTTGCTCTTCTGGCCTTTCTTGTTTGTGGCTGTTATATGTGTATCCTTTCTCTATAGCCGTAAGTTCTTTGAGAAGTTTCGGAACAAGCGTGACATTGCCTACGCACCACTGACACAGGAATAACTTTGTTTTCAGCTAAACAGCAGTCTATTGGCAATAGTTTTTGATAAAGCAAGGGAAGACTTAATGTTTCAGCTTCAGAAATGAAGGAATGGGATTCTTCTTTACTCAGACTTTCATCAAATTAATTTTAAAAAAATTGATGAATTTAAAATTTATTCATATAGTATATTTTGTGTATTGCTTTATGTAAACACTAAAATGAAACCTGATGCAGTGAAATATACCGAAGTTATCTCCCTTGTGGTATTAGACAATGGTAAAATATTGTAGTTTCATCAATTATTGTTTTAAAGACAAAGGATCTCAAACAACATCATACCTTACATGATTAGTTCTTTCCAATGAAAATTTACAAAAGAGGAAATATCTTGAAAACATTCATTAATCGTTACCTGTAAAGGTAATAATCAGAGAAGAATATGGAGCATAGCCAATGCCGTTTTTTGTGGTTGGGTGGATCCAAGGGCACTTAACTCTTCAACGAAATACCCCGAAGCATGCAGGGTGATTAAGTAGTAGAGCAAATCAAGTAAGGGTATCAATCACAACAGCATCAGGTTTCTTAATTTATTGGATGTTGATGCATGTCAACCAGTTTTGCCCCATTAGTTGTCATTGGCTTCTAGCTGATTGACAGACACAAAATATTTTTCGAAACCTGCCTGGATGCTGTTGTGATTGATACCCTTAATTGACTAGTAAATAATTGAATCAGGTGTAATTGTTTAATTTCTGTTACATTGATGAAAAATCCACCATTTTAAATGAGTTATTTTGAGAAAGCTAGCTTGTAATAAAACAAGGAGACCCTGGTTTAGGAAACACTCAATCTGATTTAAAGAGCTTTTCATAGTGAAGTCTCAAATTTTATAAGTATCTATATATAGAGAGTAACATGGTCATTGTCTTAAAATATCAGCTGTATTTTGACAAGGGTGAAGAAAAGACAAAAGTGGGGAGTCTCTGATGAGCCACTTTTGTCTTTCTGTCCGAGCAAAAATACAGCTTATATTTTAAGACACTGACCATGTATTCCATTTATCCTGCAACATTGTTTGAAAATCAAAACATCCACAGTTTTGTTGTTCAATCTGTGTTTACCTGTCGTTGACATTATGCTGAATTTTGCCTGATGACATACATCAAAATAATTGCTATGCACAGAAATGTAGTTCCAAAATTCAATGGATATGACAGCAATTTTATGAACTTTCGTAAATAAACATATTTATTATCACATATAAAATCACTTATTTTGACAATTATTCATATTATTACACATATTTTTAAGGTTAATTAAGAAAGTAATTCTGTGGAATTACCTCACATGCTGAAATACAGCTATTTTTTCCGTCACTGCAAAACACAGCAAAAATATATGTGGCTGGTGTATTTGGACATTGGCACTGCCAGTTCCAAGGTGAATAAATATTTCTCTGATGAGTCATTTTACTGGGATAGAGTCCGTCCATTGATCTTTGATTGGTCATATTGTGGTACTTTACCATATCTGTCCATTTGTCTTTCAAGCTAATTTTAGAGTAAATTTTGAAGTATGTATATATACATTTACACATAAGATTCCTTTGTCACGTTCACAGATGATAAAATTAGAAATTGACTTGTCATTTCAATACAGTCAACATATCATAGATTTTAATGGAACTTTGTGAAATTGGTCACAATTTAACAAAAAGACACATGATGTAGCTTGAGGTCAAGGTCAAAGATCAGGTTTTGTTGTTTTTCTAAACGATACATGCCCTGTTGTAACATTCTGAAACAATGTTGTGAAGAGTTGAACAAGATACCATTTCACCATGTTAAAGAACAGGATTACAATATTTTATCTATCAAATGATTGATGTTCTGAATTAAGATTGTAGAGAGTCCAGAAAAATTCCATGGACAGAGGTAAGGTCAGAGGTTGAATTGTTTTCCTTATTTTTACACTTCTGTCGTTAAGGAGTCAACCAAAGAACCATTAAAAGGTCAAGGGCATTGGATCAAATGTCAAGGTCATAGGTCATATCTGCTCTTTTTCAACTGAAAACAAATTTAACAGCTACACTGATGATCAGTTACATTAAACATTAGGCCTGATACAACATAAAGATCCTAGGTGTGTGGCACAACACTTCCTACCCGTGGTGATTTATGTGTCTCTAGAAAATGAGAAACAGACTGGTCTGGTGGTTGTGTCCTTGAGCAACATACAATAGATGTATGATGGCCTTTGACCTCCTACAGAACAGAATAAAATGCAACTATAATATAACTTAATGTCAACTTTAGATGTTGCATATTAACCATAGGGTAGAACTTATGAGGTAGAACCTCCTCCATTTAGATTTTATAGGGATATGGGTTGGATTGGATAATGACTAGTCTTACATATGTATACCCTTGTCAATATTTTGAGAAACTTTCAACAAATTCATATTGAATGCTTAGCATTATAACATCAAGTTCTATATCTGATCATAATGGTCATCAGTCAAGGTTAAAAGATCACATAATGATACAATGGTAAGTAGGCTGCACAGGAGATGTACATTGTAAGAATGTATGTATTCAAGCTTATTGTTGAATTTCGAGTACATTTCTGGTGAGAAATTAAAATGTATTCGGGTTCATCATGTTTAAGTAGATTCCTTATATGAATTATGTATTTGAATTTCATGTAGAAGTGCTTTTCTTGTATGGAAGTTATTTAAGTGTTTTGGAAAACATTTCCTGCTATTCAAAGATAGTAAGTAGTTGATACTTTTTAGTTACATTTAGATTACATTTCTTGTATGAAGGTTTTTGAAATGATGTTTCTTTAAGAGAACTTCTTTTAAAATTGATGTACAAGTCACACTAACCTGTAGCGGAGTGACAAAGCCTTTTTAACACTAAGTACAAGCCACACTTACCCATTAGCTGAGTGACACTTAGAGACCCCGTGTATTAAGTGACAGAGACCAAACACTTTGTTTCACAATTGTGATAAAATAAGTATGGTTAATTTTCTTTACATTTTCTGTGTCTGATTTAGTTATTTACATCCTGTTTACATACTTACCTATTATTTAGTTCTGTTTATATATTTACTTATCTCTTTCTTGTTAAATATCTCAATGAGCTCTGATTGAAAGTTGGAAGTCTTGTTCCATTTTTCATTTTCACTGTCTTTTGTACAAGGTACACATGGATGAATTCCCCACCCATTTTCCATAAGATGATGATGGTTTCACGTCTCTAAGACTCTGCCTGTCCATTTTCCAGAGTGACTATAATGTTTTTATATGTCTTATGGTCAGGAATTTTTTCCATGTCCATGTGCCAAGATACACTGTAATTTATAGATATGTTTTAGAGGTTTTTTAATTATGTAGCATGTGTATTTATTTATAGGTGGATAGATTTCCTTTCCATGCAATCAAAGACATATTATTTCCTTATGTGTTCCTTGGCTATTCTTTTATTGTTGAAAATCAACAATGTCTAGCATGTTAAAGACTTCTGTGTACAAATTAATTGTTAGCAAAGTGTTCAAAGTTTCAGCATTTTCATTAAGAAAAAGAACAAGTTTAGAGAGAAATGCAAAACAATGTTGGTGTATAAGTTTGAGATATGGTACTGTTTGTACAAAGGACCAAGACAGAGCTCAGAGTTTAAGTTTAAACTAAAAGGTTGTATTTGCTGTAGAACTGAAGTTGTGTACATTCCAGAAGTCACATATCATGTATATATTTCCATTTGTTTACAGGTTTTATACCGAGCATAATATATATTAAGTCCAGTTTTTCTAAAATAAATGTTCTCTTAATAATTAAATGTCTTCCTGGGAGTAATCTGTTGTTAGCAATAAGCCCACCCATTAAGTGGAAATAGTCCTGTTATACATCAACCCTACCTACTATGAGCTGGGATTCATCTGTTGGTAGCAATAAGCCCACTCATTAAGTGGAAATTGTCGGCTTATACATCCACCCTACCTACTATGAGCTGGGAGTAATCTGTTGGTAGCAATAAGCCCACCCATTAAGTGGAAATTTTCCTGTTATACATCCACCCTTCCTACTATGAGCTGGGAGTAATATGTTGTTAGCAATAAGCCCACCCATTAAGTAGAAATTGTCCTCTGATACATCCACCCTACAAACTATTAGCTGGGAGTAATCTGTTGGTAGCAATAAGCCCACCCATTAAGTAGAAATTGTCCTGTGATACATCCACCCTACCTACTATGAGCTGGGAGTAATCTGTTGTTAGCAATAAGCCCACCCATTAAGTGGAAATTGTCCGGTTATACATCCACCCTACCTACTATAAGCTGGGAGTAACCTGTTGGTCCCTGGGACTTACTTTAGGATACACATATATCAAATGTTGGGGAAATACAAACTATCAATACTTCTCTGACAAAAACATCTTCTGTCCATAAGAGAAATTTAAGTAATTAAGAACAAAGTCTGTTTGAAAGCAGAAACTTTATTAAGATAAAATATATTTAAGGCATAACAAGGAGACCAAGTTACCGGTAGAAAGGTGCTAACGTACATTGACAACCATTGGGATAATACTAACCTAAATGTGACAATTTTCCAACTGTGTAATATACAGAAAATTCATTCTAATACAATATTATCCAACTAATGAGATAATATGATGTGATTCTCGAATTCCTATGGATCACAGATGCTAACAGATAACATATATTTTTGACGATAAAAGGGTGTGATGACTTCCAGCCCTTTAAATTTTGCTATTACTGAGTTACATACACATAGATACCATATTAAACCTCTACCATAAAACACCTATCGGTATCTGTATAAAATGGCCCTATTTGATGATGGTATTGAGAAGGTCATTCATTAGAATATCAACAAAAATGGATTTCAAGCTAGATGATTGGCACTTGAGTATAATCAATAAAATTCATGTTAAAAGCACTCCCAGATTTGTAAATATAAAATATTACATGGCTACACTGTAGCAAACATACAGAAACATGTACAAACATATAGCATACCAATAACATTGTAGAAACTATACACACATCAACACTTAAGTACTTTTAAAACGACCAGTTTATATGTGGTCAAGAAAGTTTTTAAAAAGTAAAATATGTTAAAATCATTGGAAATTTTTCTAAGTTAGAAATCAATGAATGGAAAACATGGATAAAACATCAAAAGTTAAAATAAAATATGTTTATAATAACACTGATTGGCTAAATATTACCACACAAACTATGGTCAACTTACTGGCAGTATGAAATTGTCCAGGACATTCTGATTGGCTAAATATTACCACACAAACTATGGTCAACTTACTGGCAGTATGAAATTGTCCAGGACATTCTGATTGGCTAAATATTACCACACAAACTATGGTCAACTTACTGGCAGTATGAAATTGTCCAGGACATTCTGATTGGCTAAATATTACCACACAAACTATGGTCAACTTACTGGCAGTATGAAATTGTCCAGGACATTCTGATTGGCTAAATATTACCACACAAACTATGGTCAACTTACTGGCAGTATGAAATTGTCCAGGACATTCTGATTGGCTAAATATTACCACACAAACTATGGTCAACTTACTGGCAGTATGAAATTGTCCAGGACATTCATGGTTTTAATCAAGTGATTATAAAAAGTCACAAGCTTTATTCCACAATGCCTTTAGCACATCCACATCAAGAATTATTTCTCAACTAGATCTTTTGGATACAGCTATTAAAATTGTTTTGGTTTATACTTAAGTAACTGAATCAAAGGTGGAATTTCTCAAACTTAATACAATAGAATTAGCACTCTATATTAAATGGTGATCCAGGCAAATGCTTCTTGACGTCCTAAAGAGAAGAAAACAACATTTCCATTCAAGAAGCAATAAAAGTCAAAACAAAAGATTAGCCAGTCTACATACATTGAAAACAACAACATGAGACAGATGACATCCAGTGAGTATCAAATGAAACAAAAGATTAGCCAGTCTACATACATTGAAAACAACAACATGAGACAGATGACATCCAGTGAGTATCAAACGAAACAAAAGATTAGCCAGTCTACATACATTGAAAACAACAACATGAGACAGATGACATCCAGTGAGTATCAAATGAAACAAAAGATTAGCCAGTCTACATACATTGAAAACAACAACATGAGACAGATGACATCCAGTGAGTATCAAATGCTATAGTGAAAATACATGAACAATTGAAGAGTGGTCTTCTATCCATAGCAATAGTATATTGAAGCATAGACACAAGTTAGCATGTTGACTTTCAAAGTGTAGCAAGTACTGTGAAAAACACATTTATACAGTACTTAGAAGAACAAACAATGAGGTCTTAAGTAACAAATACCAAAATACAGATATATAGATTTATGAATCTTTAACAGAAAGTCTGCAAGGACAACAATTATTAAATCCTAAATCATCATATCTATTTCCTGAAGGAGACTTGATACTTCAGGATGTCTCTGACTCCATCATATGTTTTTCCATCAAGAGAGTAGGAGATTGAATCTGAGAATTCCTTCATTATTTGTTTCCATATTGATTACACAGATCTCTCTTGGTATCCTCCCTTTTTCTTTTGCTCATGTGCTTTTCCTCTGTGTCTGGATTTTGCCTCTTGTGCGGAGTCATCGTAACACTTGTGAAGCTACCACCCTTTGGAATAGAAACCACAGATGTATAATTTCTGATTAATAATAACATTTGTTTTTATGCATTGGAGTAACTGTTCCTGGTTCCTGTACAAAAGATGCTCCAAGAATCATGGCACCTACCATCTTTTCTTTAAAAGTTGAATCTAATTATAAATATATTTTCTTGATCTGTAATTACATAACTATGACCCCTATACCCTACCTCATATTATCAGAAAATAAAATCAGCAATCATATTTAACACGTTAACCACTAAGTACAAATAACCCCTTAAATCTATAAATCTCGAAGTACAACTGTTATACTCTCTATACAACTGTTATACTCTCTGTACAACTGTTATACTCTCTATACAACTGTTACACTCTCTATACAACTGTTGTACTCTCTATACAACTGTTATACTCTCAAAGTACAACTGTTATACTCTCTATACAACTGTTATACTCTCAAAGTACAACTGTTATACTCTCTATACAACTGTTATACTCTCTATACAACTGTAATACTCTCTATACAACTGTTGTACTCTCTATACAACTGTTGTACTCTCTATACAACTGTTATACTCTCAAAGTACAACTGTTATACTCTCTATACAACTGTTATACTCTCAAAGTACAACTGTTATACTCTCTATACAACTGTTATACTCTCAAAGTACAACTGTTATACTCTCTATACAACTGTTATACTCTCTATACCAACTGTAATACTCTCTATACAACTGTTATACTCTCTATACAACTGTTATACTCTCAAAGTACAACCGTTATACTCTCTATACAACTGTTATACTCTCAAAGTACAACCGTTATACTCTCTATACAACTGTTATACTCTATACAACTGTTATACTCTCGAAGTACAACTGTTGTACTCTTTATACAACTGTTATACTCTCTATACAACTGTTATACTCTCGAAGTACAACTGTTGTACCCACTATACAACAGTTATACTCTCTATACAACTGTTGTACACTCTATACAACTATTGTACACTCTACACAACTGTTATAACCTCTTTACAACTGTTATACTCTCTATACAACTATTGTACCCACTATACAACTGTTGTACTCTCTATACAACTGTTGTACACTCTACACAACTGTTATAACCTCTTTACAACTGTTATACTCTCTATACAACTATTGTACCCACTATACAACTGTTGTACTCTCTATACAACTGTTATACTCTCTATACAACTGTTATACTCTCTATACAACTGTTATACTCTCTATACAACTGTTATACTCTCTATACAACTGTTGTACTCTCTATACCAACTGTAATACTCTCTATACAACTGTTGTACTCTCTATACAACTGTTATACTCTCTATACAACTGTTGTACCCACTATACAACAGTTATACTCTCTATACAACTGTTATACCCTCTTTACAACTGTTATACTCTCTATACAACTGTTTTATTCTCTATACAACTGTTATACTCTCTATACAACTGTTGTACTCTCTATACAACTGTTGTACCTACTATACAACAGTTATACCCTCTTTACAACTGTTGTACTCTCTATACAACTATTGTACCCACTATACAACTGTTGTACTCTCTATACAACTGTACTCTCTATACAACTGTACTCTCTATACAACTGTTGTACCCACTATACAACTGTTGTACTCTCTATACAACTGTTGTACTCTCTATACAACTGTTGTACACTCTACACAACTGTTATAACCTCTTTACAACTGTTATACTCTCTATACAACTATTGTACCCACTATACAACTGTTGTACTCTCTATACAACTATAATACTCTCTATACAACTGTTGTACTCTCTATACAACTGTTGTACACTCTACACAACTGTTATAACCTCTTTACAACTGTTATACTCTCTATACAACTATTGTACCCACTATACAACTGTTGTACTCTCTATACAACTGTAATACTCTCTATACAACTGTTGTACTCTCTATACAACTGTTGTACTCTCTATACAACTGTTATACTCTCTATACAACTGTTGTACTCTCTATACAACTGTTGTACCCACTATACAACAGTTATACTCTCTATACAACTGTAATACTCACTATACAACAGTTATACTCTCTATACAACTGTTGTACTCTCTATACAACTGTTGTACCCATTATACAACTGTTGTACACTCTATACAACTGTTTTATTCTCTATACAACTGTAATACTCTCTATACAACTGTTGTACTCTCTATACAACTGTTGTACACTCTATACAACTGTTATAACCTCTTTACAACTGTTATACTCTCTATACAACTATTGTACCCACTATACAACTGTTGTACTCTCTATACAACTGTTTTATTCTCTATACAACTGTAATACTCTCTATACAACTGTTGTACTCTCTATACAACTGTTGTACACTCTATACAACTGTTATAACCTCTTTACAACTGTTATACTCTCTATACAACTATTGTACCCACTATACAACTGTTGTACTCTCTATACAACTGTACTCTCTATACAACTGTTGTACTCTCTATACAACTGTTGTACCCACTATACAACTGTTGTACTCTCTATACAACTGTTGTACTCTCTATACAACTGTTGTACTCTCTATACAACTGTTATACTCTCTATACAACTGTTGTACCCACTATACAACTGTTGTACCCATTATACAACTGTTATACTCTCTATACAACTGTTTTATTCTCTATACAACTGTTATACTCTCTATACAACAGTTGTACTATCTTTACAACTGTCCCCACTACATTCACTCCTCAACATACACTGTTCCCACCCACCCAGTACAAGTATATCCCCTTTAATATACAACTCCCTCTACATACAACTGTCCCCACTACATACACTACTCAACAAATACTGTTCCCACCCTGTACAACTATGTCCCCCTTAATATACAACTCCATGCAATATACAACTGTCCCCTCAACAAACAACTGTCTCATCAAACAACTGTCCCATTCATGTACAACTGTTGTCCCCTCAATATACTCCTGTCCCCTAAATGAACGACTATCCCCTTAATACATAACCCTCAACATTCACTGTCCCCTCAATACACAACTATCCAATACACATATGACTGTCCTATCAGCAAACATTGTCTGCTCCCCTCTATATATGACTGTCCCCTCAACATACAGCACTCAACATACAACTGTCTCCTTAATGTTTCATTATACATCCTTACCCGTGGTTGAGAGAACTTTTTGCCCTCACACCATTTTTTGAAAGTGTCAAGAGCTTTTTGATAGAATTCAGGATCATCCCTCCTTGTAAACAGATACACACTCTGGTCTGTGAACTCACTGGGAGTCATACGGGATACCTCCTCCTTTCGTATCATCATAGCTATTTCAGGCTTACTCTTGTTGTAAAACCTAACATGGTCGATGGGATTTAAGTCCTTCATGCCGTAATTCATGCTAATAATCTGTAAATAAACAAGCTTAAGTCAAACATGTTATAATACTATATTACATTAACATTGTATGTATATGCAATGGTGTAATAAGTTGATTGTATACATGCAACATTGACAGTTCATAAGCTGGTAAATCACAACTGACTTTGGTAATGTTACAAATGATGGTGTTATTTTTTTTGGATATGATAGAGAAATGTTTGCCTGCTACTAAAGCTACACACCTCCACAATGAGATTGTCTTTCAATGCCTGTCTGTCTTCTTCCTCTCCATTTGCCACTATTTCAGCTTTGATCCTCTCATTATCTGACTACAAATGGTAAAAGTGATAACAAAACAGGAAATGTTTTCAATGATTGTGATGATTATATACTTGATTTTCAGTGTTTTCAGACTAAATACTATTGAATTATTTGTATGTAGAGTGCTGAAAGGTCCTGAGTTCAATTCCTTGTACTATATGAAAGGTTTATTGCACCATACCTAAATTTTGCTGTTGGCATAAAAAAAATCTGCAAATATCTAATTTTAGCTGTTTTTTTTTTAAAATTTATAATGTAACTTTTTTCAATCGAAATTTTCCAGTTTGACATTCGCCATGCAATCTTGAAAAATTTGATGATGGTGAAAATAACCTTTTATATGGTATATCCTACAAATATATCCAGAGGGATCTTAGCACCAGGCATTATCTGATCTTCATTTGTTCTTTAACAGTATCCCTCCTTTTCTCTGCTTTTGCTCTTAATTATGTGAAATCTAAAAATTCCTCCTAAGAAAAAGCAATAATAATCTAAAAAAAAAAAAAAAAAAAATCCATAAAGTACTTTTCCAGAAATACTGTTAACAAACTTTCATTGTCAAAATCCAAGATGGCCCCTGATCAGGCATTTTGTTTTTTTGAACCTACATCTATGATTTTAAATTCGAAAATCAAATGGGAAGAATTCTCACACCTTTTCGTAGACCTTATTTTTGGGTTTGGTCTGCCCAACCCATTTGTAAAACTTGCGCTGAAGAATCTTTCTGAGGATGTCACGAGCTTCCTTCAGCCCCGGATCTCTAGAATTCAGGATACGGTCAAACACACAGTCATTCAATTTAGAATATGCTTCCATGTCATGTATGGACTCAGACATAGTCAACATTTTCCTGAAATCAAACATGTTTTTCGTCAATGTAAATTTGCAAATATTACAAATTTATTATTTTTGTTTTTCTCTTCTTTTTTTCAATTGAGTTCAATGAATTTCAAAGCCTTATTTATGGCGATGAATTAAACATTACCATTACAACTCTGGTATTTGTCAGTTTTAGAACATACCCTTCTGTCCCCTGAGAGCCTTAGAGCTTACACTTCAGTCCCTTGAAATGTGAAGTATTTGTCAGCCTTAGAACTTACACTTCAGTCCCTTGAAATGTGAAGTATTTGTCAGCCTTAGAACTTACCCTCCTGTCCCTTGAAATGTGAAGTATTTGTCAGCCTTAGAACTTACCCTCCTGTCCCTTGAAATGTGAAGTATTTGTCAGTCTAAAAACTTACCCTCCTGTCCCTTGAAATGTGAAGTATTTGTCAGCCTTAGAACTTACCCTCCTGTCCCTTGAAATGTGAAGTATTTGTCAGCCTTAGAACTTACCCTCCTGTCCCTTGAAATGTGAAGTATTTGTCAGTCTAAAAACTTACCCTCCTGTCCCTTGAAATGTGAAGTATTTGTCAGCCTTAGAACTTACCCTCCTGTCCCTTGAAATGTGAAGTATTTGTCAGTCTTAGAGCTTACACTTCAGTCCCTTGAAATGTGAAGTATTTGTCAGCCTTAGAACTTACACTTCAGTCCCTTGAAATGTGAAGTATTTGTCAGCCTTAGAACTTACACTTCAGTCCCTTGAAATGTGAAGTATTTGTCAGCCTTAGAACTTACACTTCAGTCCCTTGAAATGTGAAGTATTTGTCAGCCTTAGAACTTACCCTCCTGTCCCTTGAAATGTGAAGTATTTGTCAGCCTTAGAACTTACCCTCCTGTCCCTTGAAATGTGAAGTATTTGTCAGCCTTAGAACTTACCCTCCTGTCCCTTGAAATGTGAAGTATTTGTCAGCCTTAGAACTTACCCTCCTGTCCCTTGAAATGTGAAGTATTTGTCAGCCTTAGAGTTTACACTTCAGTCCCTTGAAATGTGAAGTATTTGTCAGTCTTAGAGCTTACACTTCAGTCCCTTGAAATGTGAGTATTTGTCAGCCTTAGAACTTACACTTCAGTCCCTTGAAATGTGAAGTATTTGTCAGCCTTAGAACTTACACTTCAGTCCCTTGAAATGTGAAGTATTTGTCAGCCTTAGAACTTACCCTCCTGTCCCTTGAAATGTGAAGTATTTGTCAGCCTTAGAACTTACCCTCCTGTCCCTTGAAATGTGAAGTATTTGTCAGCCTTAGAACTTACCCTCCTGTCCCTTGAAATGTGAAGTATTTGTCAGCCTTAGAACTTACCCTCCTGTCCCTTGAAATGTGAAGTATTTGTCAGCCTTAGAACTTACCCTCCTGTCCCTTGAAATGTGAAGTATTTGTCAGCCTTAGAGTTTACACTTCAGTCCCTTGAAATGTGAAGTATTTGTCAGTCTTAGAGCTTACACTTCAGTCCCTTGAAATGTGAGTATTTGTCAGCCTTAGAACTTACCCTCCTGTCCCTTGAAATGTGAAGTATTTGTCAGCCTTAGAACTTACCCTCCTGTCCCTTGAAATGTGAAGTATTTGTCAGTCGTAGAGCTTACACTTCAGTCCCTTGAAATGTGAAGTATTTGTCAGTCTTAGAGTTTACACTTCAGTCCCTTGAAATGTGAAGTATTTGTCAGTCTAAAAACTTACCCTCCTGTCCCTTGAAATTTGATGAGTTTGTCAGCCTTCAAGAATGCCTCTGTGATCCTGCCAAAAAATTGTTTTCAAATAGATATGACAGTAATTATTGTTCTAAACTTCAATAAGATGAAACAAACATTTAAACATCCTGACATATGATGGAGATCAATATTGAATCTTTCCCATTGTATAAGTTATAAAGGAAGCCATTTTTTTTACTGATGTAAAAGGTCAAAACTACAGACCATGGGGAACATATACATCAAGTATGAAAAATATTCAACGCTTCTTAAGACATAGAAGTTTAACAACAGAATACAAACAAAAGAAGATTTTATTCAAGTTTGCAAGACAAGAGCTCTAAGTGGGATCTGGGTATGATCTTTTTTTTTCTATGCAAGAACGATTTTCTCTCCACTTTTCTCCTCTTTCACCTTTTCCTCTTATAAACATCTGATAACAAGGGGATCCTACATATGAAATCTAAGACCGGTCTAACAAAAACTCTCCAAGAAATAGTGATAACACCTTTCAACTGTCAAAATTGAAGAGTGTCTCTGGTCAGCCATTATGTTTAATTGATCAGTCTCAAAATCATATGGGCACAACTAGGGACCATTGGGAACAAACACATCGAGTTTGATAAATATCCCTCCAGTACTTCTTAATAAATAGCGATCACATGGATTGTTTATTGATAGATGCCAGATGACAGACCACAGATGAAGAGCAACTTGGACAGCCCACCTTCTGGTGAACATTGGCTGATAAGGTGCTAGCAAGAGTGAAATTCTAAATTATACTTGAATCTATGACTGGTACAAAGTCATGACAAGTCATTATTGCCATTACTGAGAAATCAAGATAAGTCTTACTTACATGCATTCAATGATGACATTCACTCTATGCTGGTATGCTCGTTTATGTAGTGTAACACGTGTATTGAACATGTCATATAGTGTCTGGACTTCCTAAAATAACACAAGGAAATAAATTTCCACAAGATTAGAACACATATGCAAGACATGAATGCTCCTGGCCTGAATATGATCAGTTGTAGATGTTTTTATACTTTGGTGTAAACATGAACCAAAAGTGTCAAGAGTTTCTGAAGCTATGACATTGATTTGAAAGAGGATAAGACAGAACAGGGCCGACTAACATGGGTAACATGTATTATGCCTACCTCGATGAAATGGTAAGGATATAAAAAATTCAAATGTACATTGCTTAAATTACATGCAATAAGACCTACCTGAAGTTCCGAATATCAGAAAGTTTTTGTATGAGTACTATCTCCATGTAAACATACCAATATCATTGTGTGATTGCTCACCTGTTGACCTTGACCAACAAAATTTTGATCTGCCACTATGATGTGAATGCAGACTAAATCTGTTGAGGAGTATGTAATATCTTGCAGACAAACTTTTGTAATTCGAATAAAATCTAGTCTTGCCCAAAAATTTGTCAAGAGTGTGACCTGTTAACCTTGAATGATGACTACATTAATACAAACAGAATAAAACTTCTAATACAAAGTGAATATAAAAGTAAATCTATTTAATTGAGGGCTTTCGTAACTGTCTTTGATAATCTGTTTAATGACCAACTCTAAAACATTTGTTTTTATTCATTCTCAAATAACTGACCTCTATAAAAAAATTTCATTACTGTAAAACATTTACACAATTATCTCTTTGTCCTTTATTTGACAATTCATTTACAGGATAATCAAAGTGACTAAAGTATTATGGTTTTAAAGAAGAAGTTTTTAAATATACATAAATATATACGGTATATAGTTATGGAATTTCTTGACCCATTTCAGGATGTATCTAAATACTTATAGGTAACATTATTAATTGTTACAGGCAATAGGAGAAAACATTAATGTAACTTGAACCAGACTATATATGAATGTCAAATTTGTAAATTTCATAATAAAGATATGAATATTTGAATACTTTGTATGCAAATCAATTTTTCTAATTAAATCTATGTAGCATTCTATTTAAAAAAACTTCATGAATACATAAAATATATATTGGAACAGTACTTAACAGAACCAAACTTGACATAGAACAGAGAAAAAAACACTTTCCTCCTGAGTGCTCCTAGTGGAATTGTACACCAGCCTCCAGCATGATTATGAATACAAGGCTCTACCATGTGAGCCAAAACAAACATGCTTTAACAGCTGAGTGACAGAGACCATATTTAACATTGTGTACAAGCTACATAGACCTGTCAGCTGAGTGACAGAGATTGTATTTAAGACTGGTCTGTACTAACCACACATACATGCTTCATCTTATTATTACGGAATGTAATTGTAAGTTGAAATAACTTGTGCCTGATCTGATCTGTTTAATGATAAATAAAATTCAATTCTTGTCAAAGTCCCACCTTGTCTCTGGAACAGATCTGAAGTTCGTCATCAACTTTCAGAACTCTCGCAAACTTGATGAATCTCAAGTGATCAAAATTGTTACTGATGCCGAGGTTGTGACAGTCCCTGGCAAAATAATCCCACTTATCCACATCTATACCATTTCGTTTGTTAGCTACAACCTGAAAGTCAAACGAAAGGAGTCACTGTGATAAAGATGTAGAAATTTTCAATGTAATGAACTGCAACATTGCATAGGAAGTATGAAATATAGTGAGGTACATCTGCTATGGGAGTGCAAAGAAGTACAATATTTTTTTCAGAACTTTGAATTTTTGCTTGATGCTATGTTCATTCCTTTTACTTTCAATAAAGAAACTTTCATATTTGGCTTTAGAAATAATAAAAATATATATTACAAAACTGATAATCTTGTATTGCTTGTTATAAAACAATATATCTACAGAACAAGGTGTTTACAACAAACTTTATCAGTACAAGCTTTAAAATCTATCATTATAGATAACTACAACATTAAAAAATATACTTACATGGACAAAGGAAATGAAAATATGGTAAAATTTCACAATAGTCGGAAAAAATGGGACAAACTAGTACATACACTGAACTCCTGAAAGAAATGTGAACTTGGGTTTTTGTATGTTTCTTAACTAGAAATACACTACAACATCCTGTTTTGAGGTTGACACGGCACAACAAATCTCTTCCCCCCCTCCTCTCTCTCTCTCCCTCCCTCCCCCTCTCGCTCTCTCTCTTACTCTCTCCCTCCTACTCTTTCTCTCTCTCTCTCTCCCCCTCCTCTCCCTCTCTCTCTTTCTCTCCCCCCTCCTCTCTCTCTCTCTCTCCTACTCTCTCTCTCCTCCCCTCCTCTCTCTCTCTCTCCCTCTCTCTCTCCCCCACCTCCTCTCTCTCTCTCCTACTCTCTCTCTGTATGAAAGGATGTGTATGTGTGTGTAAGGATCTATTATTGTATATACATGTCAATAGTTATCTCAATATGATGAGGATACTACATGATTATGTTTGCTAGTGATGAGATGATGACAATGACAGTATTAACTGTAAATAAGGATGAATGTGAAGCTGGGGGAGTTTATGAATGACAAGGATAGTGTTTTTGTTTCTTGAGGATGAGAGTGACAATACCAAATAACTGTGGAAATGTAGGAGTAAAGAGCACTATCAATGATGGTGGTGATGAAAATTCCTAAGGATGATTGTGACATCGAGGATGTTGGCCCCTGAAGGTGATAATAATGATTATGATGAGGATGATGGCTCATAATGAAAATGATGTTGAATGATTTGTTGATGATGATGATGATGATGATGATGATGAAGATGAGGACGGTTGTGTGGATGTGTTGTGAGGATCTGTATGAGTGAGAAAGAATAAGTATGTGTGCGCGAGTGTGTTCCAGGACATTCTAATATAATTTTTTAAAAATGCTTGAAAAAATAAAAAGATATATATAAAAAAAATGAACCTGCGTTTATATGAGAATGGTTCAGTTGATGACCTTTGTTTATGTACAACAAACCAGTCAGCGACAGACATGATCTCTGTGGTAGAAGTACCAATAAGGTTGTTGCTGTGTCCAGGTGGTTTTGAGTTTTACTTGTATGATTCTGTCATAGGGCTACATATAGTTAGTGGTTTTCTACCAGTGTCAGTTATTTCTAGCATCAGAATGACAAGGCTTGTTTTGTTAGTACGTCCAGTTTAGAAATACTATAACCTGATATTCATAAGCCAAAGAATTTGATACACTAAGGTTAATCTTTTTCTTCGTTTTTAGTTTGTAAATTTGCCATTTCTCAATAAAGTTTGTCACCATTAATCCATCCTAGTTTTTGCCAAAGATTTGTTGGTTGGTATCTAATTCATCAACAACTTTTAAGAATTAGTTTACCAGACATGTTTGCTTGTTGTGATGAATGTTGAGGTCACACTGCTACCCGTACTCATGGAGTGAACCTGTGGTCAATCTCAATTTATTTAAGAAAAAAAAAATTTACCAGTGTGAAAATAGTTAATGACATGACTTGTATCAATACCATTTTTCTTCTGCTGAATATTTTTCAATATTTTGTTTAGTTGATATTTACTTTTGAACACCGTTGTTAAACATGTTAAGTCTGTCTATGACCGAAAGTTTTGGTTCATTCTCCTTGTTGAGAACTCCCAACTTACTGAGATGGACACTCGTTATGAAGACCAAAACATCTATATAACTCCCAACTTACTGAGATGGACACTCGTTATGAAGACCAAAACATCTATATAACTCCCATCTTGCTACCGAACAGAGGGTTATTTTTTCATAAAGGATAAAATTATGTGCAGAATAAACATTTTTTCTTTTCATTAAGGTCTTATTTTTATTTGAACTGAATATTATGAAAACAGATTGGAACTTCCTTTAGAGATAGTTTAAATACTGAACTTCCTTTTAGTGATGTTCAGGAATATGAAAGTACACGGTCGAGGGAGTTTCTCCCTTTAGAAGAAATTGTGTTTCATATCAATTACAATTTATGACTGAAACATTTCATTCTACTCATTGTTAAAGGTATTACACATTTTATCAAATTAAGTGCTTGTTTAATGGTGAAGTAGGAAGCTTTAGATAACCTTGCTCTGGATGAAACTGAATCTGAGACAAATTCTACAATGTCTTCTAAGAAGCATTTTAGTGGATATAATATTTGAAAACCGGTGTAACACTTCAATGGTATTAAGTGATTTTTAAGTGGAAATTCAAGAGAAAAAAAAGACCACCTAATCAGACAGCAGTTTAACATCCCCTTACCAGGTGGTGACGAGGTAAGTTACCCCTCACCACACCTTATCAAAAACAGTATTTTTAGGCACTATACAAATGTTGATGTCCGATACTCCTTTCTACTTCACTGATAACAATGTTTTAATGTATTTGTTCTGTGTTTGTATGAAAATAAAAGTTTGAAAAAAAAAAAAAAAAAGTTTAGTGGTTAACGATGAACTGTGATGTAAATTATACTTACCTCGTATAGAAAACTTTTGCTCCTGTCACGTCCCTTACATGACCAATCCTGTAATATCACCATGATCATATTAAGATGTAATAGAAACATAGAGGGGTCACAGAGTTTACCTTATAAACTAAGCAAATGACTCTAGGACTTACAGATCTATAGCAGAAGTTATTCCATTGTTTTTCAAGATATTTGAATTGATGATGATGATTATGATGATGATGGTGATGATGATGATGATGATGATGATGATGATGATGATGATGATGATGATGATGATGATGACGCTGATGGCTACAATGATTGATTGACTGATGATGATGATGATGATGATGATGATGATGATGATGATGATGATGATGATGATGATGATGATGAAATAGGTGATCATCATCATGGTATTTACTGTGATGTTACATCCATCAACATAATGATTATCACATTTACTGTTATGTTACATCCATTAACATAATGATTTTCATACTTAGTATCATGGTATATCTGTCAACAAATAAAGGTTAGGTAAACATATATGGGAATTTAATATTAGCATTGGTCCCCCCACTTGGAATTTCAAAATATGATAACCATAGATATGGGTATCAGAAGTTAGTCTCATAATTGATTTTGTATAAAATGGGAGCTCCTTGACTAACAACTTGGTGGATGTTTAAGTAGTTGTTATGTAATTCCTTCTAGTACATTATTATGAGGCAATTCCAATACAATTATGACATGAATGTGTGCACATTGTACCAACCAACATTTTGATACCACATATCACACTATTTCAGGAGAAACGTTTCTTTTATGTTGAAAAAGGCAGCCAAAATTCATATAAAATGCCATTAAGTTGGCCACAGATGATATCTTTCAAAAGGAGGATTCTTGGAAAAATTGAAAACCGGTGAATTTGTCATTTTACACATTTGCTTAAAAAACCAAGAAACACTGATTTTTTATTTTCATTTTTGTTAATAGTGATAGCTTAATAACCAAAAGTCTGTAGGTCTTACTATGTGACAAGGTGGTTGTTCATGTCAATTTGTATTAGTTTGGTTAACATTACTGAACTTCACCTCTGTTCAAGGTCACACAAATGAAATTTGTTAAAATAAAGACATTTTGGTGCAAGTTTCACAATTTGAAGATTTAGTTAGCAGCTTTATACAAATCTTTTGATGAAGGTCAATAAAGTGACCTTATAAGATAGATTATGTACAGTAATAGTGACAGGTTTTGCCTTTGTTAGTTCTCATCCATAATTTGTGGCACTTTTTCTAATCAAATCTATATAACATTCTGTTTAAAAAACCTAATAAAAAACTAATAAGAGATGGAACAGTTGCAGTTTGCAGAACATTACATTGCGTTTTAGTATAGCAGAACTGCTCAAGTGATTACTTGTTTGAACTTGAGTGTTGCATGGACTGGGTTAGTTTGACCTTGATGCTGAACATGGCCCAAGAAATATAAAATGCATGCAACATGTGCACACATTCCAATGGTTCGCTTGCCCGCTGGACAGACACAGCAGTAATCTTTGACAGGGTTATCTTGATCATTTCTGTCAAACGCAATCCAAACATTGTATTTTGACTGTGGTTTGTGTGTTGAATGGATTTGGCCTCGGAGAAGATTTTCATGCTGATAGATCCAAACTTCAAAGTCTCCAACAGGAGCCAGATGCACAGCAATACATCTGGGTGCTACTTTCAACTGGTATGACCCTCGGGTTACTATTTCTAAATACTCCATATCCACTACTGGAAACTCTATCGAACAGGCATCAAATTGCACCCAGTTGGCTTGTTGCACCTAGAAAGTTCAGGTTCATCTGCAACCCTTGAGATCAAGGTGTTGGGCAGAGCCAAATGGGATTGCATTCGCTCAGCAAGGCGACGGTCCCTCAAGTCCCTCTCTGGTGTGGACACATAAATTGGTCCACATACAGCATTCAAGGAAGCAGTAGCTACTTTAACAAGTTCCTCTATGACACTAAGGAAGTAGTTTGAGCTGAGTTGTTCTCTGAACTGTTTCCACTGTTTCAGTCGACCATGGCAGCTCTCCAGAACCCATCTTGACTAAGTACACTGGCGGTCCTCCTTGGCAGTAAGTGTATCATGCTTTGTGCGACCTGACAGAAGATAGGAAGGCATGTACACAGAAAACCCTGAACCTCGCAGCAGCTCCAACACATCCCTAAACCCCCGGTCAACAATCACATTGTCATCTTTACTGAGCTACAAGGTCAGGTTGACAACTGTTCCAAGAATTTTTGTCAAGATATTTGCATCATTTTCATTGCCATAATAAGGCCCAATAGTGTCTAGTACATAACCATCTGGAAAAACAATGCTAATGAATTTAACATTGCTGTACTTCTTTTGCCCACAGTATGAGGATCTTTGAAGGGGGTGATCAGCACTTTTTTGGACATAAATATAGGTACCATCAAGGATTACAGTTACTTTGTAACCCATAGAAACATCTTGTAAAGGCAGTGTTGTGGCACTTAGCGTCCTCGCAGGTAATGTGTCTTGGACCAAGGAAACTTGGCACATTGGTCTGGCTCAAGGCTTTTAAGATACTATGAAATGTGTGAGACACATACTGTTTTTTGTCAGACCAAACACGACACCAAGTTGAGACCATGAAATATTGGTCTGTAGTTTAACCCAGAAAAGAAACAAAGCATGGAATGTAGAGGAACATGATCCTCTATTGATGTGTGAGGAGCAAATGCTTTGCATTTGTTCAAGTGTGTAACCAGTCCATGCTTTGAATTCTTCATTTCTGAGATGGTCTACATCTATGCCAGTGTTGGTTGCAGTACCAACAGAAAAGGAAATGGCTTAGTTCAAGAAGGTCATTAATAACCTGATTAGCTCTTTCTTGAAGATGAAGAGCCAAACTTGTTTGCAGATCTTGTGGCAAAGAAGAATTCATAAAGTCACCAATGACATGGTCATTGCAAACACGAGCATCAGGGGGACACCATAGAAAATGGAAAAATATCAAGTTTGTCCTGGCACACTGGGGTATAGTGCATAGCCCAGTGCCCTCTTTTCCACATATAACACATCTTTTATGTGAATTGCCATCATAAAATAATTTCTCAACAGAGATTAGTGGTAGTTGGTTGGATGACATGAAATCGGTGTAAGCATCATCTGGATCATTCGCCAGGTCATCTGGAGTGCTCATGCTAGAAGGTTCAAACAATTCAGACTGCAATGGCCTTTGCTTGAGGTACCACTTGTAGCACTTTCCACATAATACGCTTTCTTCTGTTATGCTAATGATCTCAGCAGTCAGCAACTGGTGTAGCCAGTTATACTGGGGTAAATATGCATGTCTTACTTGAGCTCGGGCACCTTGAGATAAATCTTTCAACCTGGTTTTGCAACCACGACCTAACGCGCGCCAAGCAATATGTACTTACCCCAGCACCAAGCAATATGTACTTACCCCAATGTAAATACAATTTGATGCAGCTACAGAAAATAAGAAACAATCCTTAAATATTAACTAATTATTTATGCGGTTGTAGGTTATTTTCATGTATCTACATATGGTGAAAAAATAATAGAAATCTATGTGGGGGTCAAATGTTGGCCCCATCCTTTGACAGGATGTTATCAGCTTTACCTTCCTTTAATTAAGAGTGATATAAATGTTTGTTTGTAGAGTGAATCGTCGTGTGAACTGGCAGGATCATTTTGCAGTAGCTGATGGCTACCTTACTTAACATCAAACAGGGATCCCACTTCAATGTATTTGGAGAACAGTGTAATATAATATTTACATTGTGACTCTCTTGTTGCTGATCTTTTGATGGCCTTTTTATCTGCTCTTTGATGAAAATACGATCTTTTTCAGTGAGGCCATACTCTTCAAATGCTGACACAAGGTCATTCTTCTTCACCAGATGATCAAACATGTCGACTGAGGCTTGTTCATGCTGTAGAATATCAATATTATTAAAGAATTAATAAACTTGAGTAGCTTGTAACAACCTGCCCAGTATTAAGGGATCACTGACATACCTGATATCACATGACAGAAGAAGTTTCATTTTATTGAGAAATGGTTTTCTGATAGCAAATTTGTCATAACTGTTACAGGTCAGGTTTGATTGCGCTTATAATTCTAAATTTCAAAAATATGGAATACACATGCATTAAAGAAAACTTGAGCATATTCCAGAAATTACTATAAATAGCAGCACAAACAGTATTTTAATCTTGAATTTGTCATCGTTATAACCATTTTTTTCCTCTAGAAAGGAATACAGAGCCTGACCTACAAATTAATATTATATTATATGTCATGAGCAAGAAATTCTATAAAATAATATAGACAGAGTGTTGGCATAAAGGAAATACATTTTCCTCACTTGGACTAAAACTTTTCTCTTTCTATCCGAGGCTGAGCATAGTCATACTTTCACATATAGTAACTACACTGAATTGCATGTGGCACATGGATGATGCAGTGTCTCTATATGTCTAAACAGAAAGACAATTGTTTAATGATCTATTCAAACTCCTCTCTGTAGTAATACAGCATGGCCTGTTCACCCTCACCAATCAAAATCTAATGACATACAGCATGGCCTGTTCACCCTCACCAATCAAAATCTAATGACATACAGCATGGCCTGTTCACCCTCACCAATCAAAATCTAATGACATACAGCATGGCCTGTTCACCCTCACCAATCAAAATCTAATGACATACAGCATGGCCTGTTCACCCTCACCAATCAAAATCTAATGACATACAGCATGGCCTGTTAACCCTGACCAATCAAAATCTAATGACATACAGCATGGCCTGTTAACCTTAACAACAAAATCTAATATGACATAAAGCATGACATTACAATATGATTAAGTTTTCAGTGTTCAAGAATAGCCTTGTTGCCGACATTGCTTTGTCAGAATGAGTGAAATAAATTTGATGTCATGATTAAAAGATATCCAATAATCCAGGGAAGACTATTGGTCTTAATCGACATTGGACCCAAGAATTTTTAGCATGAAATTCAAACATAATTTAGATTTCAATTCTTTGTAGGTATGATATCTTAAGTTAAGTGTACAAAAATATCAGACCCAAGAGAATATCTTACCTCCCAATCCAATTCAGGCAATGCCTGTGGGATGAACTTTCCGTCAAACATGTGAGAAAATGGTCCATGACCTTAAAGAATATAAAAACCAAACATAAGTAAGAAGATATAAATTAGAGCATTTTAAATATAATATGAATGGAGTCATGAAATTTTAATCACCTCCCCTTGTATACTGACAATGGGTTAAGAATAAAGATAGTCTTACTTTACCAATATTCATTTGCGTTCATAAATGGAAAAACCCAGCCATATGCTGATCATGTCAAGATAGTTTGGTTATTACACAATTTAAGAGTTATTATGTCACTCAATATCTGTTAAGTTCAGAGTATACACTTATTGTGGTTAAGTCAGAAAAAATGTCTACAACTTCTTCAAATGACATGTGTCTGTATGTATTTATTGTTGAATCCCTATACTTAACCAAGATTTTTAACAAGAAACATACCCTATAACAATTTATTTCAATAAGAAATTAAACTGAAATTTAACAGTCAATGATTAAAAGGTCATCACCAAGGTCATAACAGAGGTAGGACAGTGAGACAGCACAGTCTATGATTATAAAGGTTTACAGGTCTTTACAATGGTCATTGGAGAGGTCAGAAAGGGAGATATCCCATTTGATGACTTAAAGGTCATTACCAAGGTCATGACAGAGGTAGGACAGGGAGACAACACAATCTATGATAATAAAGGTTTACAGGTCTTTACAAAGGTTATTGGAGAGGGCCAAGAGGGAGATATTCCACTTGATGAATTTAAGGTCATTTCCAAGGTCACAACAGAGGTAGGACAGGAAAATAACCCACAATACAAAACATATTGTGGTATAACTTTTATAAATCAATATGTAACACGATACACATGAATGTTCACAAGCTAAAAGTTATAATTATTAAGTGTATAATGAGATTTAGTGAAACCCTACTCTTCAAAATTAAATACTACCAACATTTGTCTTTGTATAATTTTTAATGCTTTCTGGGTGTGATTGCACAGTAGACCATATCTTCGCTAAATGATTAAAAAAATACAAATCCATATTTTAAGAAATTGATCAAAATTGATTAATATTTATGTACTTTTAGAGTATCAGAATACAGGTAAATAAAACAAATTGATATGATATTGTATCACAATATGATGCAAAATGGTATATCATTTCAGCCCTTCATGACAGGGAATGGAGAGGGAGATAATCCAGTCAAGTGATATACAGGTGAACAGGTCATTACTTAAGTCAGTCAGAGGTCAGAGAGGAAAATAACCCAGTTAATGATATACAAGTTAACAGGTCATAAATATGGTCAATCACAGTTCAAAGAGATAGATAACCCAGTCAGTGATATACAGGTAATTACCAAGATCATGACAGAGGCCAGCAATTTCCACACAAAGAATGTCAGTACTGGTGATACAATATTGTGGTTGTCTGCTGTTGATGGCTCGGACCAGTTCTCCTGCTAAGTGACAAACTCTAGAAAAAATTACATGACAAATACAATACAAAAAATATAGGGTTGCCATGGTGTATTTTTTCACATGTACAATATAGAGTTTAATCAATTTAACTGAACATTGGATACACAAATTATATATAACTTGAATGATTATTGTAAGTCAACAAAAAGATTTAACTTTCACCATCAACCAGATTTTATCTGAGAATCTGGTTAAAAATGAAGAACATAGGTAAACTGAAAAATACTTATTCTTAAAAAGTCATTGCACCAGTAATGGTGACATCCTTTCTGTCCTACATCCTTACCTTCATGATTCAGCAGATTGTACAAGACACATTAGTGGATACTGCCTTTCAAAACCTTTGAATGTTACAGACTGTCATGTCATCATACATCAAAAAGTTTTTATTGACAAGTTTCAATAATCAAAAGGAACAGACAGCCAGACAACGCCTTCGGTAGATTTCAGTCGAGTTTAATGGTTTACATGTTTCGACACACTAGGTGTGTCGTCCTCAGAACAGAGTAAATATTCAAACTACAGGGCTATATATACTGCCTATGCATAGCAACTACACATGTTATTGATATTTGACGTCATAGATAGTACACTGGTTACAATGACGTGGTGTGTTAGTGACGTCATAGTACTAGAAAGTAGATATAGGCGGAACTCCGCAATGTAATAAGTTACTACTGAGTACTGTACAAATCTGATTATTTAAACTCAAATAATCAGATTTGTACAGTACTCAGTAGTAAAAAACGGAAAATCTTTGCCTGACTGGATAAAAAAAACTGACAACAAATATTATACAAACCCTAAGCAGTGCTCAAATCTGTTGTGTGCAGCCCCTGGATAAACAAAGTAGCAAGCCCCAAGTTGCTTGATATGTCGTAGTCTCTGGAACTCTGGTGTGTCGATTATCTTGACACACAAGGGATGTAACTCAATATGACCATGTATTGGGTCATTAAATATCTGTTGAAATAGAAAACAGATTCAAAGATGTGTAATGAAGCAATGATTCCCGTAATAAAACCAGATATACAAGACTGATGAAATGGATGAGAGAACTCTTTTCATTCTCAAGTTTGTTTCCTGGGTTTATCACCATGTGAACAGCCAGGGTTATAATGCAGTCATGATTCTCAAATAAATATCAAAGACAATTACTGACAAAGGGATTTAACTCATCAATGAAAATTGAGTTTGTGACACACACATATATTCACCTTCAGATACTCCGTCATTGCACTCGCCTGGATTTCTTTGAAGGTTCTTAATGTTTCTTCACGGTCTGCCTCTCTGAAACATCATATCAAGCTGTTTTACTTTTACTTTCTTCCTCTCTAACTTGATTTCTGGAAACCCAATCAAATCTAATAATCAAAGTGTCCATATTGGGGAGGGGGGATCCTTTCCTATGATGCATCAGGACATCACATCCAATCCAATGAGCAAGCTAAACAGATCTTAATTAAGAGTCTATTGCTTATATTTCATACTTCATTATACTATTCAATATTTTGGGTAGTTTTCCCTCTGGAATTCTTAAAGATTAGCTCCGGATGTAGTTTTGTCGTCAAGTATTTATGACTCACCTCAGCCTCTGCAGTTTTGGAGTATGAGGGTATATGTCTTGATATCACCAGGTTTGTTTTCAAAAGAGGAAAGTGACAGATAAGCCACTATGGTATTAACTTACTTGGTAAGAAAATTTACAATACTTATTAGAATACAGTATCAATCTTCTGTAGATATAAATGGAAACTTGTTACATTTCATAAGTTGGGTCTACAGTTGAGATGTTCTTGCTCTGGCTTCCCGCCAGTGGAGACTAGCCTCTCTCCTATCTGGCCTTCAGGAACCGATACATACTGGTTAGAAAGGTGGTCGTATTTATACTAGCCATGTTAATTAACTGATGAAGTAATAATACACATTAGCTAACAGTTAACCAAGGATTGAAGTATACATGAGTTGTCAACAACTTGCACACATAAATGGCAATAGATTCGGCTGTTTACAACAAGATAAAGTTACACTGACCATCATACAAACTGCTTAGATAGGCTTCAGGTAATGACTTATATAATCAGGGAACGAAATAATACATGAACATGTGTAGTAGATCAGTAACGACAGAATACCTCTGGCCACTGGTCAATACATAATTGTTCACAGCAGATGTCAGTACTAAATTAACACAGGCAGATACATTATGAATTATGTCTAGCACAATTTTGAATAATTTAATTTTACATATTAACTTTAAATAGTTCAGATATTATTGGTTATATTTCTCAAAGTCTTGTTGGATATTGATAGTGGTGTACTTACGATGTGATACCAATTCCCTACAGATCTGCAATACTATCAAAATAAATTATGATGCTACTATCACTCAGTATTGACCTTTAACACGCCAGCAACACTTAAGTAAGAAGTTTACTGAGCTCATTGTTGGTCATTGATTTATAACAGTATTGACCAGTTGGAACACCAATGTTGAAACACTGGCTTTATCTGATCCCCTATATCCAGGTGACACTTGACAGCCACAGGATGTCCCAGTACCACTACACTTGACACAAACTGTAACTTTGCTGGTAATTTTGGATAACCGGACACTGTAAATGTACTTCATTTGGAGCTATGAAATCACATCACACTTTTGGCATATTAGTGCAATGATGAGTTCATGCATCCACAAGAATTGTTGTAAAGTGAAATCTGCTTATTATCATGTTCATTTTGTCAGGGGGGAAATGTGATAATAAGCAGACCATGACATTAACAGTTGAAACTTATTTTTGGACTTCTAAATGCTGAAGTTAATTTCATGATACACCAAACTAACTTGTTTCTAATGTTTTATGTATAAACAACATATTGGTTAAAGCCTTATAGATCTTTTCAAGTGTAAAAACTTTCATGAACATTTCATTGTTATAACATAACTCTTTTTTATCTGAGGACTTATTTTCATTTTTGATGTTTATTCATAGTCATGAAGACATTTCTACACTAAGAATATACTGTATTATCCTAAATCTTCATGGTAGTTTTATTCTAATTGAAATCAAGGATCTTTATCCATGCATTTTACGTCCATGGAGTAATAAACATACAAGAGGCCCAGAGGGCCTGTATCGCTCACCTGGATCTTTATTACCAACTGTATCATATCTGTTTATATGTTCCACAGTAGATGCTTAAAGCAATATGACAAATTACTCCATATGGGTTCTGTCCCCTAGTAGTCCAAAATAAGTCATTTGTATATAAGCTTTTAATGGCCAAATATGATGGGTTTTTGGTTAATCAGAAGAAGTTGATTAACTATTTTACCAAATTTAACCCAAATGACATTAAATATCATTATGGGTCAAGCTATTTTTTCACACACTATGTGGGCACCATTAAGGGAATCTTTTGGACAAATATTCTGATCCTAAGCCTTTAGCTTAATCAGAAGTTATTCAAAGGTTAAACACATTTGACTGTTGTGACCTTGAATATGGGTCAAGATCATTTCTGTTCTCAAATATTACCGGGCATCATTGAGAACCAATTTTGGAATAATATCACTATCCTAGATGTTTTGGATCATCAGAAAATGTCATTTAAAGGTTTAACACATTTGACCCCTGTGACCTTGACTATGGGGCAAGGTCACTTCTTTTTGCAAACTTTCTTGGACTTCATAAAAGGAACATACTGGCCAAATAAAATAATACTAGGCTTTTCTATATTTCATAAGAAATTGTTTAAACATTTTAACATATTTGACTGTTGTGACCTTGAAGATTGGTCAAGGTCATTTCTTTAAGCAAACTTTGTAGGACACCATAAGAGGAACATAGTAGCCTAATATAATGATTCTAGGCCTTCCTGTATTTGGGGAGAAGTCATTTAAAGGTTTTAACACATTTGACATCTGTGACCTGGAATATGGGTCAAGGTCATTTCTTTTTGCAAACTTTGTTGGGCTTTATCAAAGGAACCTTCCAGCTAAATATAATGATTCTAGGCCTTTCGGTATTTAGGAAGAAGTCGTTTAAACGTTTAAACACATTTGACCTCTGTGACCTTGAATATGGGTCAAGGTCATTTCATTTCACAAACTTTGTTGGGCTTTATCGAAGGAACCTTCAAGCCAAATATAATGATTCTAGGCCTTCTGGTATTTTGAAAGAAGTCATATAAAGGTTTTAACATATTTGACCTCTGTAACCTGGAATAAGGGTCAAGGTCATTTCTTTTCAAAAACTTTGTTGGGCTTCATCAGAGGAACCTTTCAGCCAGGTGAGCTAATAAAAAGTGACAAGGCTTTCAGTACTAGTGGATTTCACAGGCAAGATTTCTCCAAAAATTCAACAGCTAATGAAAAACACATTTTTGTAAAACCATGAAAATGGGGTCCCTCCAAGATATTGGAGTTTACAGTATGTTACTAAGTATATTTTGAGTGCATGTATCAGTATACCGGTAGTCTATGAGATATGTCATCTACTTTTTTTAAAGCTTTTCACCCAAAGGTGAAAAGACCTATGGTTTTTGTTAAGTTTCTTATTCTTCTTTTATTCTTCCGTATTTTGTGGAGTCTGTATCTTGAGATGAGTGAAAGAAAGGTTGATGGTTTAGTTAGTATGTTTTTAATGAAGGTCTGAAGGTGTTACAGGAAAATTTTCAAATAGGTCAAACATCCAATATGGCCGCCATGACGTCATAAACTAAAAACATTAAAACTGCTGTAACTAAATAACCATTCATTGTGGAGAGTTTGTGCAATTATATTATTTGTAGAGAATTCCTTATCTAAATTTTTGTCAAGACATGTTATCAGAAAATATGTCGAATAAAAAAGCTCGATGTTGGGTCAAAGGTCACAAATTTTTTTAAAAAATTCATTTTTCAAGATTTTTGAAAAATTCTTCCAAAAATCAACGTAAAATGATTATCTGATGAAGTTGATATCTTCACTTTTTCAATAACGTTTTTCGTTATCGTTATACACCATTTTGAAAATTTCCTTTGATGTTTTGAAATGCCGACAAAAAGTTTGAACTTGAATTATTCCAAAATCTTTGATAAATATCTGATTTAATTGGTCGGGAAAAGTTTCCCCATATTCATTTCAGTAATTGGTGAGATTGTGAACCAGGTTGAAAAAACAAAATGGCCGCCATGACGTCATTTCCGATTTTAGCTTAGTGTCAGTATCTCATGAAGGGCTCCATGTACTGAATTCAACTTTGGATATGTGATGAAGAATTAGATAAAAATAACATTTCTCATGAACCTTTTTTCTATAAAATGACAACTTCCTGTTCCCGGTAGGGGTCAAATTTCAAAAGTGAGATTTTCTGATACAAACTTCAAAAATCTTCTTCTCAAAAGCCAAAAGGCCTAAGGTCATAATATTTGGTCCATGTCATACTCAAGTGGTGGAAAATAAGGTTTAATATGAACGACCTTGACCTATTTTCAAGGTCACTGGGGTCAATTATGTTAAATAATGTTTTCCAATAACCAAAACGCGTAGGGCTCTCATATTTTCTATGTAGCATGCTTGGATAAAGAACTACCAAATTGGACGAAAAATACACTGTCAACTTTTGGTTTTCGGTAGGCGTCATAGTTCAAGGGTTCAATTTTGTGAGATAAAATTTAAAAAGTCTTCTTGTCATGATTTGGTCAATATCATACTCAAGTAATGGAAAATAAAGTTTGTTAATATGAACAACCTTGATTTATGTTCAAGGTCACAGGGGTCAAATACATTTGAACCTTAAAGATTGTTTAATTTATTTTGATGAAGTTATACTTAATTAACGTTTTAAAATAGAAAGTTCGGCTTTGGATATGTTATAGATATTAACAAACGAAGAAACTTTCTCATATACTGTTATCAGGAAAAATGTCAACTTCCGGTTTCCGAAAGGGGTCAAACTTCAAATATACAAAATAGGCTACCAGTGTTCAACAATCTTCTTGTCAAATTCGACAAGGTCCAGAAAACTAATATTGGGGATATATTGATCATCAGATGTTACATTATAAGGCTTGCAAATATGAATAACCTTGACCGACATTCAAGGTCACAGGGGTCAAATATGTTTGAACGTTTAAAAAGTGTATTTCTTCGTTATTATGTAGTTATATCTCCTCAAGGTTTCAAGATACAAAGTTCATCTTTGGATATGTTGTAGAGATTAACAAACAAGGAAACTTTCTTATATATTGTTATCAGGAAAAATGTCAACTTCCAGTTTCAGTAGGGGGTCAAAGCAGAAATCATTGTTGAAATGTACAATATAGGGTACCAGTTTTAAACAATCTTCTTCTCAAGTTCCACAAGGTGTAGAGCACTAGTGTTTAGCATATACTGATCTACAGGTGTTGTTTTATAAGGCTTGCAATTATGAATAACCTTGACTAACATTCAAGGTCACAGGTGTCAAATGTATATGAAATCTTCAAACATCTTTGATCAAACAAAAAGCAAGGGGAACTGATATTAGGCTTGTAGCATGCTGGGATGAAGGACTACCATTTTTGTCCTGACTAAGAGTTGTTTCTAAGTTCGTCTGAAATCCAAGATGGCTGCCATGACCGCCATTTTGAAAATGGATATTTTTGAACTGCTCAGGTCAGCTTGTGGAATTCTGTTTAGGTTTGCCGTAAATGAAGCTGAGATAAACTTGGAATAGTGCTGTTTTTCCGGGAGTCTGTCCGATATCCAAAATTGTTGCAAAAGAAGTGAAAAGCATAACTTACCTATTGATGGCATATTTCATGTTAATACTGTAAAATCCAAAGGGAGTATCTTCAGTGATTTCATGGGTACTCCTAATCCACATATTCAAATGTCCAAGAACTGTTAAAATAAGTATATTCACCAATTCCAGAATCCAGTGTCCATAAAAAAGTAAACTTTCAAAAAAAAAAATAAGAGCTTTCTCATAACCATACTTCAATAACAAAGGTATCGCAGTATTGTACTTATAACACAACCATCTCCATTTTGTGCTAGTAACACAGCTATCTCTATTTTGTTATAATAACAGCTGTCTCCATTTCATGCTAGTAACACAGCTATCTCTTTTTTGTGCTAATAACACAGCTATCTCCATTTTGTTATAATAACCCAGCTAACTCCATTTTGTGCTTATAACCCAGCTATCTCCATTTTGTTATTATAACACAACTATCTCCATTTTGTGATTATAACACAGCTATCTCCATTTTGTTATAATAACAGCTATCTCCATTTTGTGCTTACACAACAGCTATCTCCATTTTGTGCTAATAACCCAGCTAACTCCATTTTGTGCTTATAACCCAGCTATCTCCATTTTGCGCTTACACCACAGCTATCTCCATTTTGTGATAATAACCCAGCTAACTCCATTTTGTGCTTATAACCCAGCTATCTCCATTTTGTGCTTACACCACAGCTATCTCCATTTTGTGCTTATAACCAAGCTATCTCCATTTTGTGATAATAACACAGCAACCTCCATTTTAACAGCTCTACAATTCCTGCATGCTGCAGACACAATATTGTGTCCCTGGGCCTCTTGGATATTAAAAAGATTTCATCATATTTGATCCCTATGACATTGAGTAAATGTCAAGGTTATTAATTTCAACTAACTTGTTGGCCCTTATTCTCAACATAATCCAGACTCAAAATCAAGTCAATGGGCCACATGGTTATTGGGGAGAAGTTGTTTAAATGGTTTTTGTATATTTGACATCTATGATCTTGAAAAAAGGTCAAGGTTATTTATTTGAACAAAGTTGTTAGCCCTTCATCCCAAAATGCTACAGACCTAATATCAGGTATTTGGGCCTCTCAGTTATTGAGAAGAAGTTATTTGAAGATTTCAGCACATTTGACCCCTGTGACATTGAATAAAGGTCAAGGTTATTCATTGGAACAAACTTTGTAGCTCTTCATTCAAGCATGCTACAGAGCCAATAATAAGTCCCTGAACCTCTTGGTTATAGAAATGAAGTTATTTGAAGATTTCAGCATACATGTATTTGGCCCCTGTGACCTTGAAATGAAGCCAAGTTCATTCATTTGAACAACATGATAGCCCTTCATGTCATCATACTACTGGCCAAATATCATAACCTTGGGCCATTTGGTTATTGAGAAGTCATATAAAGATTTTAACACATTTTACCTCTGTGACTTATAAAGTAGGTCAAGGTCATTCATATGAACAGACTTGGTAGCCCTTAATCCCAGCATGCTCCTGGCCCAATATCATGACCCTGGGTCATTTTGTTATTGACAAATAGTTGTTCAAATATTTAAATACATTTGACTCCAGCGAACTTCAAAATTGGTTAAGGTTTTCAACCTTGTTTATGTCGATGCACGACCCTGGACAAAAGGTGATCGCAATTGGTGAATTGAGACCTTGTAACCATTTTCGGTCAGATGATAATGTTATACATGCAGTGGAGGACTTTCTGAAAGGTTAAGAAAAGGACCTAGTCTAGTGGTAGAGAGTATGACTAGAGACTAAAAGGCCCTTATAGCCTTACCAGTATCATAAGTACTGGTGGAGGTGAAAACACTGAACAATCAAAGTACTGAAAGTACTGGTATGCTAAGACCATTGAAAAAATAAGTTCTTTGTTATTAGCTTGCTATATACTGAAACCAACTATATGCAAGCAGTAAATCATTGCAGCCCATAAAAAATGACCAGCAGATATCAGAAATAACAAGCATAGTAGTATTACTTATGCAATACATGTCCCAAGTAGGCTCCAAGATGCAATGACAGGGAAGTTGTCCATTTCTTTGGATACATTGTAGGAAATGTTGATCTTGGACACCATAATATCACTTTAAAGACTGTGTAAGACCATTAGTTAGACCATCATGCAAATAACATGCTACATACAAATATTGGGCAGCTTCATTTTCCAGATTGTCTGTAAATGACTGCATAAGAGTGCCAATTTTCTAAAACAAACATGATATGTCACCATAACTTAAAATAGAAGATGCCTATTCTTCCGGAACACCTGGTCTTATTCTCCTTGTACTTTTTCAGGGAATCTTGAGTAGATATTGTCTTTGTTTCAATTTTACACTTGTTTTGCTGGTTCTACAATTCTGTTGACATGTTTATATATTCTCTGTTCTCTAAAACTTGTCGCAAGATATTTTATTCCTCTTGTATTATTATTTTTCAACATCCTAACTGTGACCTTGAACCTTGAAATTTGCAAGATGTGAATATCTTTTAGATTGTGAATTTTGATAGAAAAATGAGGGTAATGCAAAGAACACCCCCATGCATCTATCCATTTTTTGACTGTGACCTTGACCTTTGACATCTGACCCTGAATTTCTAAAGAAACCGACTTCTCATAAGGGATACATGTTCCAAATTTGATTAAGGTATACTGTCTTAGTCTCAATGCGTTTACAAGGTAACCATATAGTACTTATGCAAGTACTGCGACCTCTACATTCAATCCTCAAAATCATTACTATATCCTCTCCACATTGCCCAGGGATAACTGAAACTGTAATCCAAATGATAACTAATACCCCCAACACCCACAGCCTTAGTTATCTCCCCATGGTGACCTTTTGCACAGAAACATCCTCTGAAACACAGCGGCATGTGCACATGTTCCCTGACATTCCTGCGAAGTTTTGTTGAAATTGGTCTACAGGTTTGGAAGTTGACCAACATGCAAAACCTGTCTATAATGACCAGTTGCCATGGCAATCAATATTTCGAGAGAAAATGGTGCATGCACATCTACACATTGTCCCGAATATTACTGTAAAGTTTCATTTGAGTTGTCCAGACAAGATGTGTCTACAGACAGACAGACAAACAGATGGATGGACGGATAGACAACCTGATTCCAGTTTACCCACCTTTTGGTGGTATAAGAATGCACAAGAGTGCTTACAAATTCCATGTGGACAGACATCATTGAAAAATAATAATAATAATAAAAACATGATAAAGATGCTTATATCTTGTTTTATTCAGTTTTTAGATACAGTATTCTTTCCATGCTTTGTTCAGCAATGTAATCTTGTCATGTCAATATCCTAGTACAAGATTGCATACACAAAATTGTTGTAGGTAGACTTTTAAGATACATAAAAAAATACATGCCTAAGTTTAAATGAAGGTTTTAAACAGAAGTCATATCATGTTCAGTATACAGTGATTTTTCTAGACAATTGTAAACTATAAACTCGGTATACAGCGATCTTTTCTACACATTTGTAAACAACAAACTCAGTATGCGGTGATCTTTTCTACAAAAAGTTTTTTTTTATATATTGTATACACTAAACTCAGAAAAAAAAATAAATAAGTAAACCTTTCTATGTACACTACAAACTAAGTATACAGTGATCCTTTCTACACAAACTTGGTATAACTAGTGAATCTTTCTACTCAAGTAAATTGAAGATTGTATACATATTTACTACAAATGCAGTATACAATGATCTTTTCCACATTTTTTTAGTTTCCACAATTTGTTGATTCTTCTTTTGTGATGGTAAATATACTGCCGCCTTTAGAGAGTACTGTGACATTAAAAGGCAACATGGTTGTTAGCATCTCCTCAAGTGATTAATCATCTAAAACATCTAATTGGAGGCCAGAAAGAAGGACGTTTTTCTCCACCATAAGGTCCTCAAATCCATTGTTGGTCACCATGGCCAATTCCAACTTAGAAGAATCAATAGAGATACCTTCTACCATTCCAGATTTCATTTCTTCAGGGACATCCACTTGCTGAAAGAGAGTACGGGAAATAAATAACTATATTTCATTATTGCTATGATTATGTGCAAGAAATATACACTTCTGTATAAGCTTATAGTCTTCCCAATAGGAGTCTATATTAAATATACTGAAATTAATTACTTTGATGTTCAGGACTGTCAAATTATTAAGCGATGGACAGCTAGCAAAATGATAATATCTTGACCATGGTCATACAGAGATTGAATCTTAAAATTAAATTTGTGTGATAAATCTGTGCAGTATGATAATTTATTTTGACGTTTGTATTTCAAAAATCATTTTGACTTGAAAAGTAATGTGTACTTTAATTAATTACATTGGACCGTCATGTAATGGTTATTTAATTATTTTGAAAATACCTGTAATGGCAATGCCATTTTCATAATGTAATTGTAATTTAATTAATTACATCATCATGTAATTGAACCCATGCCTGTTACAAACAGTAGCTGTCCTAACTGATCCTAAAATTAACTTTGGCTACGTCTATCACAAAATTAACTTTGGCTATGTCTATTACAAATGCCACATTTAGCTACAGTAGAGGTATTTCAAAAATGTACGTCATTGTAGCTGAAAGGACATAATTAATGGTTACTTAACCAGAACTACAGTTCTGAACAAACCACTACAAAGTCTGGTTAACTGTACTAAGAAAATGTCCTCTCAATTAATCAATTTCATTGATTATCGACATCTAATTGTTGTGCTTCCGGTCACTTGAGTTTCTTAAAGTTTCAATTTGACTTTTAATAAGGCCCAAAGTGATAATACTGCAATGTCTTAATAAGCTCTCGAGGGGTATTGGTTAGACTATTTATCCCATTTCATTCCATTCACCATGGAAACAAAACTCTAAAACGCTTAAAAACAGTCAACAATTAATGACAAATATTGAGCCTAGGGCTGTGTAAAATTGATGAATCAAGTGTTGAATTGAAAGTGGAAGCAGTTGACATAATACTGAAATTTCTGAGATAAACAAATACAGTACATATATCAAAAAGTTCAGGCATAATAAGAATTGTACCAATTACACTTTACACATTCACACTGGGACCTAACACTTTACACATTCACAATGGGACCTAACACTTTGCTAGTTTTATCCTAATCTTTATTAAAACACTTTCCGGGATTCAGATGTCAATTGACATTTTCATTATTCCCAATCTTTATATTGCAATCGTTCACATGCATCACTCTTCAACAGAATCAACGAGACATCATGTCAGAAAGACAAAAACTATATTTAAACTAAAACTATAACTTCACTTGTAAACCTTACAATTGGCATTGCTGTGGAGTTCCCGTACGATTTCATACCCTGGCCTTGAGGTACTTCTAAATTATCGCCGATCTGAAATTTGAAAGAGCTAGATCTACAATAGCACGGACAGTGACCGATATATTATACAGATAGATTCCTATATCTATTCACGGTAGCGTAAGTAGTACAGTACAATATTACGGATAAGTTTTTTTCTGTTTAATTTCCGATCTGTTGGGCCACTGACAGAAGTGACTGCGATGAGACCATTATGAAACGATCATTCAAAAATAAATTCATTTCAAAACACTGAAATACTTTACGGAAGCAACAAAAATGTGCTAGATGCTTACATAACATTTTTCAAATGCATACTGCTTCAAAGGAAAAGTCTTGAAAATATTTTGAAAAAAGAGCCATGGCGGCAGTGCCCAGCTTGCGCGTCGCCGTCGAGCCTAAATTCAATACCTGCGATAGCTCATTTCAAATGAATTTTTGCAAAAAGTACAATTGCTAGTTCAGTATAAGTATTGACTTTAAATTCAGCTTATATATAGTGATACTTACCTACATAAAATACCCGCCATCTTCTTTCTGCCGCCTGCCGCCGTCTTCTTTCAGGGTCCAGCAGCAAAGAGCACCCCGGCTGTTTCCGTCAAAATTTTATGCTACTCTAAATCATTCTTATTTTAGTTTCATTCTTATTTTCAACTACATATTTCAGTATTTTCAAAAGTTTTCAACAGTATTAAACGGGATGAAAATTTTCGAAAAAGAAAAAAAAGAAAGATATATGTGAAATTAGGGTTCTTTTTTTAATAACGACTGGTTCAATGGTACTGGGATCAAATTTATTGTCCACACAAAGAAATCCCTAAACACGGGTATAAAATTAAGACTGAACTTGTAAGCAATTGTAATTACTAATGAGTAATAATCATTTACGAATAGTTCACGGCGATGTCTACTTACATTTCGAATCATGTCCAACCCCTTTGAAATCTGCTGACCAAATGAAAAGAAAGACACAAAAGCGGGAAAGGACAGGAAGATTGACAGCGCGCATGTGTTTGGAGTATCACACCACACACAATTACATACATTACACAACCATACTCAACATACATATAAACCGCCATATTGGCATCGCCTCGCAAAATTTACCACCATAAAACGTGAGTCTTTGTCATTGTATTTACAAATTTCAATGTCTGATTATCATTTAATACACAACACAAAACGTTTTCTTGATGTACAAGTAATGAAGAAAATGTCGATAAGGTTGTTTCATTTAATGACTAGCATCAGCAACTTGTAGGGGCGATAATCCAATGATTACGGTAATGTCCGGCAGATTGGAGTAGGAGTAAACTTTCGATTTATGAACCAATGAAACCAAAGTACTGATACTCAGGGCCAGGGAAATGAAACTAAAACACAAACATTCTGTTTTAGAATTATGATGGAAATCAGTGACACTTTCAAATACATATGATCGTGTATGCAACAAAAATATCATTCATAAAATAATTGAAAAATTGAAATATCATTTTAGTAATGTAATCATGATCTTATCTCAAAATATCTAGTGTTTAAGAAACTTAAAGGTGTTGGGACAGAATCTAACCATTCCTACAGGAGAAGTAATTTGCTCAGACAGATGGACACAAAACCATGAACAACCCATCTGATGGTGGTGGGCTAAAAAAGCTCTGTACAACACAGAGTTAGTCTAAGCTTACCTTTCTGATATGATATATTCCACACTTTAATGCTTCACAATGCAGTAACTATAGCCCTGATTTCCTGTCCCCTCTAATCAATATATGTCCTGCGTGAGTATGACGGGTCTCTATATTTAGGTAACGAATTCATGTGGCAACATGTGTCAGATATTATCAATAGAATATATGTTGTTGTTAAAACCAAAGAGAAATTACACACAAAGAGGTATTCATTGGAACACATACACCATATAGAAACATTGTAACTGCAAGGATAAGATAAAACCTGTGGTATACGATATTGTGTGTGTAGAGAATCACTATAGCTACAAGGGTTAAAGTCTGTGGTATTACATATCGTCTGCCAGGAGTCAATACTTCGTAACTCTATTGAGTGGGATATTTCAGGAGACACTAAAATAACTTTTTGATTCTTTTCCTTTACATAACAATGCTTATATATGTGATTTACTTGAGGTTTTTTTTAAATGTAAAACCAATTTTCATGATGTAATACTTACCATAACTTTAGTATGCAAATACAGTACCTACACCCATCTTTGTATCCCAACAACAAAAGATTCAAAAGAAAAACAATCCCGCCCTCCCTCCGATCCATGAGCATGGTTCGCACAGGCCATGAAAAGTGCTGGAATTTAGGCCAGTGCTTGAAAAGTGCTGGAAAATTGGTCCAGTGCATGAAAAGTGCTGGAATTTGCTCATGAGTGCTTGAAAAGTTCTGGAATTTGAGAAATATACATTTATTACATGTTCTGTATCAGATTTGAAAATGATTCAATAAATATTTTCTCAGAAAATACGCATTAAATAAATTTAAAAACATCGACGATGTGTTTGTTTTCATTTCCCATCAAATCCGGATCAGATTCACCATTGTTGGTCCTGTGTATTAGAGACCTGGTCACACAAACGCTTGCATTCAATGACTCGCTATCAAGCGTTTGAGTGATACCGGGAGCACGCTGTCTAGACGGGGGATTCCTCGTGTACGCGTCATGTCTGGAACACATAAATGTGTTTACAATCAGCAGTGGGAGCGGAAGTACTTGTGGGTAAAAAGTGTTGGCATATAAAAGATCTAGGTGTTTATCAATTTGTTTGTGTAATTTCTTACTATTTACAAACTAAGAAGCGTACTTACTGCGCCAAAATTCATACATTTTTACCGAACTGGCAGTCCTTGAAAATTGAAAAAAGTGCTGGAAAAGTGCTTGAATTTTGTTATGAAAAGTTTGTATGAACCATGATGAGCCATCACGGCAGGAACGCCACAGAGGGGCAGCCAGGCAGATAAGGAAGAGGGGAGGATAGGGTGGGACTCCATAAAGTTATGGTAAGTATTACATCATGAAAATTGGTTTTACATTAAAAAACTCAATTTCATTTCAGTAATAATTACCATAACTTTAGTATGCGAATTCGTCTTACCGTAGTGGTGACTAGAAGCCAGGCAGCCCCTTCAGCACAACCAAAGTAGTAGGGAGGGAGAACAGAGTGCCAAAGTGAAGGAAGGGACCTCTCTGTGAAAGAGCAGGTGTACCCACATGCTGCCGTACGGAAAGACATGGCCCGGGGCTAACGAGGAGGCCCAGCCACTGACTATGCCACCACCAAAGGTCCCAATGAATACAGGCCTTCTGAGTGGGAAGCTAGGGATCACAGATAAAAATCTGTGAAGGTATCCCTGCCCTGCCAGAATGCTGCAGACATGACCTCCTGAAAGGAGGACCCATTGAGAGAAGGGCCCAGGATGAAGCAAGGGCTCTGACCTCGTGAGACCGCGCTTTCGCTCTCGCCCGAGCCAGATCATCAAAATGCTTGTATTCTGTATTCATTAAAAGATGGATCTATTCCCTTCTTTTCCATTATTAAACTGTTTTTGCTCTTAATTATTCAAAATTTAAACATTCCTTTAAGGAAGTAACGATAATGATCTTTAACTGCCAATCCAAGATCCCCACCTGTCAGCAATATTGTTTTCTGATCAGTCAAAAAATCAAAAGTGAACAATTTTTGGACCAAGGGGCATCTACAATAAGAATTTGTGAAAAATTCTTTCAGTACTTCTTAAAAAAATGTTACAATTTTATTGTCAAAATTTAAGATGGTGGATTGTCAGCTATCTTGCTTTTCCAATGGCTCCTGATATGGACTACACACAACTAATGACCAAGGCAAACTAAGATATTCAATTTGAAAAAGATCCATCCCAATTTTTCTCCAGAAGTAAGGACAGATGGGTGGATAATAAGTCAACCATCATCAGATATTAGGCTAAAAGTATGTACATGCCCTACTGAAATGGATTCTTTCTACTTTTCATTTTGTTCATGAATTTACATAAAAAGGGCCTTCTGAATTCTTCAGAAACCCCAACTACTGTAATCTGACAGGTCTTAAATTTATAATTTTAAAAGTAAAAGAAATTATCATGTTATATGTATATGAAGAATTGCAGTCAGGTTCTTATGTTTGGTGTAATTTACATGTGAACATTTCAGCTGACAAAAGTTATCAAAAACAAAGCATGCTAGCTATCACAACAACTGAGCAGTTATGATAAATAATGTTTTAGTTTCACAACTTTAACATTGAAAATCTAGGCCAGTCATATGATTTATCACATAATATTTCTAATCAACATGCCATGTAAACATCAGTGTAACACTTATTTTAAATGGGGCCCATTTGGATATAACTCATAGAGAGGGAAATCAATTCTATTAATTTCTCAACACTACATGTATTCTTTTTGATTTTGGTGAACAACTCCAGAGACATGTTGTTTATAACATAAACCTATTGTAAAGGGAAAATTTTCCAACCCAACCATATATGGTAAAGGGGCATATTTTGCCAGTTTAAGGAGAATTGGTTGGGTTTGCGGAAGTGAATCAGTGTGTTAGGAATTAACAAAAGGCCTAGTGGCCTTCATGGTCACCTGAGATAAGCAATATTGAATATAAAGGTTAAAGGATAGTTATCAAGTGTCATGAAACAGAAATTGTGAAACTGAATATAGTAAGCCAGTGTCAACACATGCATATACCATACTAAAAAATTAATAGGTGGATTTAAAATCTCTAACTCTAAGTTGAAAGAATACTTTTATTCTCTTGCCATGAGAGTTTTCTATTCCACAAAAAGTGAACGGCGGTATCAATATATATGGTTGTATACTGTACTAAGTGTATTTTGTCCAAATCTAAGAAGAAATAAACGAAGAACGAAATCATAAAGTGATCGAGTTGCTGGTTGACAGCATCTTCAGTGAGTTTGGTGGTAAGATGTTTTTGTTTTTATGAGGCTAAATGTATATATTAAAAATGTCGTTATATAACAAGAGATTTATTGACCACGTCCATCATACATTTTCTGTATATAAACATTAGAATTGAAAGTCAACAGGTTCTTCAAAATCAGCCCCTCGATCTTTTCCTACAACGAAACCAGCATGGATAGCTTTCCACCAAGATGTATGGTAAGCATAGTGATTTCAATTTCCCTCTTGTGAATTTCTAATTTCTGGATAGCAACATTCCTGCATCCCTAACCTATGTTGTTTACATGTCAAGGTTGGTTCAATATTAAAGGGGCTCTTACTTTTATCACTATTTTCCTGAAAAAAGTTGTAAAAATGACGGACTACTTAATTTTATGATATAAGCTTTACCTTGTTTTCAAATGAGAATGTGACATTACTCACTTGGTTTGACCAAGATTTACATAGCAGGTGTTGTCAATGAAGCAAAAGATGTTTACATTGGAAGTCTTGTCTTTTAGTAACAAGAAATTTATCAACCACATCCATTGTATATACCCACCAGAATTGGAATCAGAGACACGACAGATTTTTCTACAAAACCAAAATGGACAGCTTCTACGAAATTTATGATATTCGTAATCATTTCAATTTCCATTTCTCTATTGCAGATTTTCCACTTCTTGATAGCATTATTCCTGCATCTCCAACCTATGGTACAGCTATAATTACCAGGTATTTTTATTTCATTTATTTATTTATTATTATTATTATTATTATTATTATTGCAGGAGAAATCTGGTGAGCTGTCGTCCCGGATCCAGGCTTCACTTCGGATTCCTCCGAATGTTCGAGTATCCGCTTCCCAGAACGGATGGATGACGACTGCCGAGGTGCAACGCTGGATTCGACGAGTGTGGGGCCCGAACACTGACGATGTCCGCAGACTGCTTACTCTGGACAGTTACCGTCCACACACCTGTCCGTCTACCCTTGAGATCTTCAAGCAGTATGACACAGACAT